CCCCCTTTTGAAACACATTGGCCCGAATTTTCAAAGGAGGTTTGTCGACAAACCTTGGTTTTCGTACGTCATATGACGCGTTTTACGCGTTTTTTACAAACCTGGTTTGTACAGAACAAAAGGAGGTTTGGCGAAACAAAAGGAGGTTTGAGCTCAAACCTTGGTCTGAGCTCAAACCTTGCTTTGTGAATTCGGGCCATTGGGGCACACTCCCCTTCCACACCGTCAAGATCGCCCTGGATCTGCCACTGGCTTTCATTTTTCACAGAGTTTTGTAAGAGAACCCAGCCCAGCCCCATAACAGTGCACTTAACAAATCGCTCCTGCACTATTTATAACTTAATCATTCACCACAATTTCATCTGAGTCCTATTTTTAGAGACATCATAACAGCGAGCTAAATACGAAATGCACCACTAAAACCACGTTGACGCATAATTATGCCTCCAATTAGACAACAGCAATTTTATTAAAGTTCAAACGCTGTATTGAATTAAAGATATTTTTTCCGAAGCCAGAAATTGAAGAGTGGCGACGATACTATATGCCAGCTAATCCACGCCTACAAATTGTTCTCCTCTTCTCTTTTCATGCAAAAATAACCAGGAAAACCACGGCGCACAAAGTAAAGCAAGTGCGTTAGAACTTTTTAGTCTGATTCGGCATAGACTGTTAGCAGCATAGAAAGCAAGAGGTAAACATCACTCATAACTGAAATGCTGAAAATTTCTCACATTTTCGTTTAATTACATTTTGTGGTGGATTGTGAGAGGAAAATCTTAAGCTGTACTGTGAATCTTAGGCAATATAAAATGTGGATTGCAGGACGTTTCCGAACGACGAACGCTGGGCCTCGGACAACTATCCCCTTAGGACAATTTTCATTGAAAAACTATCCCCCTTAAAGGTACTATGTCCCTTTTGCAGCCAACCTCAAATTCTGTAGAACTTTGCAGGAATTATGAATATGTCATGTATGTCCTATCTGTGAAATGTATACGTTAGCAGTGTCCTCATATTCAAATTATGCAAGGAAACCCATTTACTTGCTAGACTTCACTGTCAGACACTATTGAGTGACTGACTGGCTTTTTTTCTTCTTTGGTAATAACATAAATGAAAAGAGTTGTAAAGGGTACATGAGCATTAGTCTACATCAATAACCCACTTCTTGTGATGGCCTAGATTAAACTGATTGAATCTTTGCGCAGCATAAAACGTATGACCATTCGGTACAATATTGTCTGAAAATCAAGACTATTACTTTTGGGCTCTATAGCCCTAAAGTCGATTTGACACTAATAATCGTTATTTTCCCACTTGAAGACATTTTCAAGCCCCACCTTTTTTAGGGAAGTTCTAAATTAGTATTATCTTTCAAATGCAATTGGAATTTAACTTTTTCATTTTTTGGGCCTGCAAATGGGACATAGTACCTTTAAGTTTGTTTAAATTATCCCTCGGACAACTGCACTGTGTGTGTGTGTGTGTGTGTGTGTGGGGGGGGGGGGTATTAGAAGTTCGAGGGCACTTGTCCGGGTATAATTGCCATAGGGGTAGTTGTCTGGAGTCAATATCCTAGGAGCAGTTGTCCGCTAGACGGATGGCTTTTCTAAATAGGTTCTACAACACACATTTCTTTCTCTAGGGAGACAAAATACTGTTTAATGGTCTGTATATAGATGGCCTTTATAGGGAGGTTGTCATTATAAAAAAAACGTTTAATTGTATTTCTTTCTATGTATATATATATATATATATATATATCTCAGGTTATTATCTAGATTCAGGTGCAATTTACCCTTTCCTCGCCAACCCCTCCCCCTCCCCAAAAATAATAAGGATAGAAATGAGGCGACGACGACGACCCTTGTTTAAAAACTATCGAATAACCCTCACACTTGGAATAATTTGGTAGTATTTTATTCCTACCTGTAAATCAGAGGCCAATCTATATGTATACCTTACTTCATACACAGAGATTTTGAGACGTTTCTTCGGTATTATTCATTACCACCCAACATATTATCTCTTTATCTCTTTATTGCATCATTCACAACGTATTACTTTCTAGCACGTCTGTTAAGCTGCTAAAGTGAAAACTCCGCTAAAGTGTAACCTGCCGCCTAAGTTTTTGAAAAAGTAGTTCACTTCAGCGAACGGGCTCGCGGCCGTAGCGGTCGTGATGCCGGCGCGCGTTCGTTGTTCGTGTAAGTCTGGAGCTAGCTAGCTGAACTGAGGCCATGCAGGCGCACGCGTGATGAGATCTAGAGACTGACCGTCATGCGTTACCACACTATGTCCAGCATCTACATCACAGTTACTCATCTGCTCATCCAGTTATAAATAGTCTTTCTACATTTCATGGAAATAGTATTAATACCGTTTTCAATATGAAATCTAACATATTGCTATTTTGGTGCCTGCATGCTCCTTATCTTTGTAAGGAGTCGATCAGATCAGTTTTTCCCAATTGTTATCATCAATATTGGTCTGTTTTTACTTAAACTTGGATACCCCTGTGGATGTATTATAAGCAACAACAAATTTGCCCCTAAAACACTTCTGCTTTAGAGAAAATGAATAATAAAAAAATTACAGGTGCTCCCCTGTCCCCCCCCCCCCCGCCCCCCTGTGGCGCCGCCCATGGCAGCAGGTTACACTTTAACATCAGGTTACACTTTATAGCAGCAGGTTACACTTAAACAGCAGGTTACACTTTAACATCAGGTTACACTTTATAGCAACAGGTTACACTTTAGCAGCAGGTTACACTTTAGCAGCAGGTTACACTTTAGCAGCAGGTTACACTTTAGCAACAGGTTACACTTTAGCATCAGGTTATACTTTAGCAGCAGGTTACACTTTAGCAGCAGGTTACACTATAGCAGCAGGTTACACTTTAGCAGCAGGTTACACTATAGCAGCAGGTTACACTTTAGCAGCAGATTACACTTTAGCAGCAGGTGACACTTTAGCAGCAGGTTACACTTTAGCAGCAGATTACACTTTAGCAGCAGGTTATACTTTAGCAGCAGGTTACCCTTTAGCAGCAGGTTACACTTAAGCGCCAGGTTATTTTGTTGGGGGGGGGGGGGGGGGCGAATGGACGTGCAATGAAGGAAGGGGGTGTCTGAGAGGGATGTACCCCCCTCAGAGTTTAATTTTTGTTTTCAATTGATGCATAAATTGCTCGATTTGGTGCATAATTTTGGCCAAATTAAAAAGAAAACAGTCGTAAGTTCAATTAACAGGAACAAGAACGCAAGGGGAGGGGGTGTCTGAGGGGGGATGTGCCCCTTCAGATGTGATTTTTTTTTTAATTGATGCATAAATGGCCCTGCAATCATATACTTACCCGGTTCAATGGATTCAGGCTTACCCGCACACAATGTATGCACATTCTTCACTCCCTTGGGAGCATTCCAGCCAGGCGTCTTTTTTTTCTTCAAGCGCACACTTGCTAATCTAAGCACATTAGCTTTCGCATCTTACCGGGTACCCATTAATTAACACCTGGGTGGAGAGTGGCAAATGTAGATCAATGTTTTGCCATGAAATTTGTGGGGCCCAAAACTTTAGAGGGGCCTTAAACACCTGACATTTTCACAGACATTATTCTTTCACCGTGAAACAATCATGTGGCCATGTGGTTGGTTAGAACCAAAGATGTTTAAATTTATACTACGTTTAAAACGGTCAGCGTATCAAATTGAGCTTTCCCTTATGTTTCTGAATGTATGCAATGCACGCACTATAAACACAGCCCCTCTAAAGTGTTGGGAGCCCAAAATTGTCTTAATATTTTATAGCAAAATTTCAGTTAAATTATATAATGATGTGAAAGAGGATGTCCTTCTGCAATGATTTATACAACAAATATGTTTGAAGACGAATTTGACGAAGGAGTGCCCAATAATTTATTTAGGTTTGTGTTGTACGCAGAAAACCCTAATGTTGTACTTTCATCACTAAATTCGTCTTCATAAACATGTTTTGAAAATCCATGCAGAAGTGTGTCTTAAGTGTGTCCATCAGTCTGGTGTCCATCAAATTGTTGGGCCTTCCAACAATGTAGAAAGGCTCTATAAAGCTCGGCTATAGCAAAACAGCAATTAATAGATAGAAAGAAAAAGGAAGAAGGATATGAGAGAGACAGAGATAAAAACAGAAAGGGCGGGGGAAGATATAGAGAAAGAGAGAGAAGGATAACGAGAGAGAGAGAGAGAGAGAGAGAGAATGAGATGAGAAGAGAGAGAGAGAGAGAGAGAGAGAGAGAGAGAGAGAATGAGATGAGAAAGAGAGAGAGAGAGAGGGGGGTTATAGAAGTGAGATATATTAAGAAAGAGAGGAAGGGAGAGAAAGAGAAAGAAAGCAGAGATAAAGGAAATAGAATATAACTAAATAAATTAAAAAAATCGAGACAAAATATGAGATTTGTCGCGTATTTTCATCACGAATTTCACTTCAAAGTTTGTGATTCGCGATGTCCCTTCAGAGCCACTATTATGGTTCGCTTGTGTTTCCCAACAAATTACGGTTAGCGTGTGCTCCTCAACGGTTCCACTGTGTATCAGTGTGTATATAGCGTATCCGCTGAAGTGAACCTTTTTTCAGTTTCTTAGGCGTTAGGTTACACTATAGCGTGAGGTTACACTTTAGCAGCTTCACACACGTCTCTAATAAGGAAAAGATTAGACAATGAAAATCATTACATGATTAACTTTTGAATTCAACGACTTCTTTATTTCCTGACTGCATTCTCATTTTTGTCGCAAGTTTGTCGTAACGTAGCTTGCAAAATGATGGTCAATTGCGTGTGAAGAATAATGAAATGAAAATGTTCAACATTAAGGAAATAATGGATCTGTTGTATGATACAGTGAAGAATGCATCGATCTGACGTATTTATTTACCATGAACGGCTCAACAAACTAGTTTTGAACAACCCTCTTACCCTCTCTCTTTATCTAGACCACCCTCTCGACATAATGGAAAAGTCTGCAAACGAGGGTGCCAACAATTGACCAATGAGACGGATTCTCTAAAAAGTGGGCGTGTCCGTTCGTCACCGACGATCATGCTCATACTCGGTACACGTGCCTCTCAGCCCACAATACACGAATATTGTCTAGTAGAAGCCCCTGGGCACAGGTGATTCAGGCGTTCCGAGGGTATATATTGGTATGAATGCTCGTAGCTGAGACATTAATTCTCTAAACTAGAGAGAAATTCGTTTTAATCGGCGACTGTGCTGTTTGGATTTGTACCAATTCTGAAAGCTGTTGCTGCCCTTAAAGATAGCGAGTTGATTCTGGGTAGTCACCGGCCGTATCGGTTCCATACCCATTGTCTTTCACTGAAGTTCATCTGTATACTTTCCCGAAGAACAATAACTTTCCATCTCAATCCTGGATTTCACGTTATGCTGAATGACACTCCGGCAATGTAGCTTCTTGACATTTTGAAATACTAAGGTAAGATTGTTATTTTTGCTTTTCAAAAGTGCTGTATAAGCGCATAGAGAATTAAGTGTTTATTATTATGCGCTAAATAAATCGAAAGGTATTATCATTATTATTATAAAATTTCAAAAATCCAATGTTCTCTCAAGTCTTCCCACATGGACTATATTATTGTCACATATCCGTCGCACCGTAATAATATTTGCTATGCCTGAGATGCTTGGGCGAAATATATGTTTCTTTCCCTTATCCTCATTTTCTGTTGTAGCTATAGTGTGTACAGTTTTTTGTATTGTACTGACAATCCCGATTCATGTCTACGGTAGTTATAACGGATTTCCTAAAGCTTTTTGATAGAATAGACCACAACATTTTGATTCGCAAGTTAATTGAGTTAGATGTCAGACCTTGTGTTATATCTTAGATAGTTAGCTTCCCTGAATGTAGAAAACAGTGTGTCAAATACAAAGGTGAATTCACTGACAGGAAATGATTTATGCTGGAGGTCCTCAAGGAACCTAGCTAGGTCCGATTTCATACCTTATCAAGATTGATGATGTTTGCAAACTTAATAATTTCCCACACTGTTGACGATCTTACCTTAGTGGAAAGTCGCATGTTGTCTCAGGTCTCCAACATTCAGCATTCGTTGGATGAGCTTGAACAATGTTCGTTAAATAATAACATGAAGTTGAATGCAGCCAATTACTTTGCTATGAATATATGCTTTTATAAACAAATCGACCAACCCAATTTTCTTACAGTACACAATATGGCCTTAACTTAATTTCAACATGCTTATACATGCTTATATGAGAAGCGATTGTTCGATCAGACCTCAAGTGGAACATATACATGACAGATAGCCTAAATAGATGTAAAAGGCAACTGTGCATCCTGAGATGTTTAACCATTTACCCTTACATAATCTTATAAACATCTATTTGGGATATTTAAAAAAGGTTCTATACTATAACACTCTTAAAAATACGTAGTCAAAAAATGACCACGTCGTGGTCGTTTTTAAAGTTGCATGGTTGACTACCAAAACGTGGTCAAAAAATGACCACGTCCTGGTCGTTTTTAACCACGTTTTAGTATAGTCAACCATGCACCTTTAAAGAGTGTACTGTGTACCGTTTAAAAAATCAAGGCTTACTCGTGAACAGATGATAACATTAGAACGTTTACAGAAAAGAGCGTTTCGGAAACGCTCTTACTTCTTGGTGTCTGTAATTTATGTCTCGAAAATCATGATTAAATAATTTGTATAAATTGTATATATTGCCATGTACTTAGAATTTTAATGTTGATATTTATCTTGTAAATACATGTGCAATTCAGCTTTTTGCTGCGAACCATGTTGTTTAATAAACCTTTTGTTTTGAATTTGCTTCAAAAGTGTTCATGATAATTAAATATGTTAATTGGAAGATTGAGATTAAAGAGTGAACTCATCCTCCCCCCTACTTGATTTATGGCTGGTAGACGCTTAAACAACAAGTTTTTTAAAATCTTGTTCATATATACATTTTGAATATAAGATATCATTTTATACGAGTATTTGCTTATTCATTTATTCAGACCGTATGTTGAATGTCTACATATCGATGTATGTCTGTGTAAATACCTTTATTTAGGATACGTCACATACTGTCTAATGTATCATACCGAGTACCATGAACTCTAGAGTCCATGGTCCGTTCAACAACTTAAACTACTACATTTTTGCTTTTATTTTATATCACATATTAACAAATAGCGCCTATTTGGAAATAACTTGATGAAACCGGTTTCTAAGGTAGGCCCGAAATACCTCCCCCCAAATGGAGAGAGAAATGATAAAAAAGTAAGCATGGTGTAAGTCATTTATAAACGGGATGTCACACACAAAATTAACGATTTCATAATAGGCTATGTAAATTTGGATTGATTTTTCTTTACCTCTTTTCATGAAAGGATTTTGACAGTATGATTTATTCTTAATAGATGGAGCTTTATTGACCAATCCGAAGAGTCTTAGAGATTGTTCAATAAAGTTCTGCGAAGTTATAATCTGTGTGTTCAATAATCCATGAATGTATATCATTTAACCCCGCCCTATTTGAACATTTCGAGGTCATTAACCGTTGAACACCGTTTATCACTTCTCTCTCCATTTTGGGGAGATATCGGGCCTACTTTAGAAACCGGTTTTATCAAGTTAATTCGACATGCATTACGATGCGGCAGCGTGGCGTGGGATAATCCAAGATTGTCTGGGAGCGTGTGTGGGTGTACGTACATGCTTCCAATAAAAAGGAGTAGAAGAAATGGGTTTATTCTACAATTTAAGAAAAATATGCTCAGAATGGTCTAGTAAAGCCTACCTTATCTGTTGCTTATCTCAATGTTTCACCAATTGCTATTCAGTCTCTTTTGCATGAAAATATCAAGGTGCGGAACATGTAAGAGGAAAAGTGATTGTCACTTTTTTTAGACCAAATTGTTAATGGCCTCGTGCGCTTGCAAGACTCATTTATCCTTAATCACCAAGTTCTTCAATTAGGAATTTATAAAACCGGTGACCCCCTGAATTTTACATAATACAATCATGTACTTGCTCCTTTACCTGTCATAAGAAGTTCTCATCTGGTCAACGCCTATCAGTTTTCACTTTGGAGTTAAACATCCATAAAATGGTGTCAATATTTTCCAAACTCTAACTATATACATCGAGGCCAAGGACGCCAGGACGTCATGACTCATGTGACTTTTTGCTTAATGATCAGTTTTCTTCACCTGGCTCATTTCCAAGATTGAAGATAAGATAAATACATCAAGAAACATGATGTGTTGATCAATATTCAATGGATAAAGTGCAATGGTATTCGAGAGGATCATGCAGTTCCGATGTCATTTTTGAAGGAGCAGAGTCTAAAAAAATCTCTGACGTTTAGCTGTCTTGTGATCGGTATTCGAGTCAATATTGATACTTCCGGGGGTGTGTTTATGACCTGCACACAAAGGGGTTATCACCAAAAGATGGAAATACATAATAACGTTATCGAAAGCCGACATCTTTAATGTCTGATCGTCTGGTATTGGTTATTTAAAAGGGGTGGAGGTGTAAAAGTAAATGTGTAAACTGTGGGTATGAAAGTACCACTAATTTGATAATAATGAGAATGATAATATTTATAATAATAATAATGATGATAACAACAGTAATAATTATATTATAATGATAATAATGATTATAACAATTAGATTTATATAGCGCCTTTTCCAAAGGGTACAATGCACAGTCCTCTATGGTCTAAGGACTTGCATATAGATTGTATTTGCTATATAATTTCTCAATTACCCTACAAGGCAATCTGGATCACTTCATTTACCAAGGACAAGAACATATTTTAATTTTTACCGGACCGAAAATATTGAATTCCCTCCCCCCCCCCCTCAATCTAACTCAATTGAAAAGTATGTATATCTTTAAACCCCAAACTTCTAGTTAATCATACGTGATTCGTCTTCGTGTTGGCGTGTGTACGTGTGTGCGAGAAAGTTCGCTTTTTCCCCAGGGGCCTTAAATATGCTGCCATTGGCTTCCATGTCGGCCCAATTTCCCCAAAAATTACTGTTTACATGTTTGTTTATTGTAACAATATCGAATTAGTATGCAATTCCTTGTACATTTTTAAAATTGAAACTTTTACGTAAGTGTTACTTCTTTATGATCAAAAGCATTTTTTATATATTTTTTTTTGGTATGTTTGTTTAAACTGATTATCAACCATGCCCTTCACATGTCAGCATATTAATGTTTGGAAATGAAAATAAATGAAATGAAATAGGCGTTAGCGTGGGGCAACGGATGGAAAGGATTTGAAGGTAGTCCGTACTCGGGATTCGGGAATGAGAAGGGAAGAAGATCTATCCAAAAAAGTATTTATTTCATGTTCAGGGACGGAACAGCGTGGAATCGCAATGTCTGCTTGGTGACTGGGTCTTAATTGCATTACTCCTCCAGATCGTCTACGCGGTTACTTGTGGAGGTACAACGACCGTCTCTAAATGACAGTCCTACAAAAAAAAAAAAAAATGTGTTTTCGAATATTACGCGGTTCAAATGCTCGGGCAACGACCGGACTAATACATCATCCAATTCAACCACATCAATAAACGTGACATTCAAATCTTTACGGGATCATCCGAGCTAAAAGTGTAACCTTCTGCAATCTGGAGCCTTAGATTTGACAAAAGTAATCTCTTATCTTACAAAAAATTACTTATGTTCATCGCCATGTCATTAGATAGCTATAAACGATGCGCTATTTGCCTAGAGTACACCCTGTTTCATTCAGTAATTTCTGTACAATTTCAACATCTAATATAGTATCGTCAATTCCTTAGCTTTATCTCTATTTCACAGTTACATTACTTTATGATAATAAAAAGGTTGTTTATGTGGATGATTTCGTTTTCTCAATCATGTTATATAATCACGTGATTTTTTTTCCTCTCATGAATACTGTCACGTGACGAAGACCATCCTTGCCCTTTGTACTTGATGTATATACACTCCATTAAAAAGTTTTTTTTTTTTCGTTTACTTACAGGCCAACATGATAATGTTCATAGTTCACATTTAGTGAGAATTCGAAAAAGAAATCAAGGATGGGAGCGAACTGCAGTTCCCCGGCGGGCGCATCCGTCTCTATCAACTCCCAGGGTCTTGAAAATTGCCCTCCGCACCAACGTAATAGGAAACCAATCAACATCACCAATAACAATTCTTCCAATGCCATCAAGACGGCAAAGGTCCCACCCAACAATGGGATCCGAAACGAGTTGATTAATCTGAATGGAAACGACAGGCACGACGTGATGTTCAACAAGGACAATGATCCCTTAATCGGGGAGAAGACCAAGCTGGACTGGGACAACCAGGTACCCCTCATGGACCCCAACGTGGTGACCATGATGGTGGAGAAGATGGAGATGATGCGGAAGATGAAGAAGATGATGGGAGGGCATCCCCCCATGCAGAATGGACATGGGCCAAACGGGACAGGGTTGGATCATGTGGATGGACAAATGCCATCGAATGGTAACCTTAATGGTAACATGACATCCAACGGGAGGGTCCCACCGAATGGTATGCACCCCCATGGGATGACCACGCCCAACGGTGCACCCCCTATGAACGGGAAGATGCCACCAACGTTTCCCAAACTGATGGGCAGTACGGAGAATGCAGTTCGTATCGTGAGGCATATGAAGTCCGTATTCAATTCAGATGAGATACAGGACCTGTGCGACCAGAAAATGGACTCAACAGACGGGAACATCATGTTCAAGATGATGGTGAGTATCTTCATATCAGACTAGATGGGGTTAACAGGTGCTTTTCCTGGTTTTGAAACAGTGGGGGGAGGGGGCGCCTCCGCCATTTCAAATCCATATATGTGTGTATTCTTAAATTAGCTTAAAAATAGGGAACAACTATGAATGGTGTAGGTCCTCAACCCAACAATGTAGCATCGATCTAGTTAACTCCGCTGATGAAAAAATGGAGGGGCGCGTGCATTGTGCCCCCTCCCCCTGGATCCAGATCATGAGACATCAAGAGAAGAAAATGTGACAGGAAAATTTGTTAAATTATCATGATTATATGGGAGGTCACACCCAGTGCAAACGTCCCGACAAATTTAAAATTCAGTGTCCATCTTTTTTTTCTTCTTCTCCTTCGTCTTTTCTTCTTCCAATGTAATCTGGATTTACTTTACTAGAATCGGGAAATAGGCGTGTGAATGTGAAATACCAAACGTAATCCTGGGTCTTATAGAACCCAGGGTTAAGAAACATGAATAAACAATTGTGAAAGGCAGAAACAGGTACAGAGACATAAGGCTACACTCACAATAGAAAAGACCTCTAGACTTTTATCATAGGTACCCGAGTGCATGCAAAAAATAACATTCAATAAATTCTGTCTCGTTTGAAAAGTCTGATTCTTGACATTCTAAATGAAATTATAAAATGCTTTTACCTCCGTCAAACTTAACCAGACAAACACCAGGGGGGCGTTTCATAAAACTTGTCATCAGTGACAAATGACAGTTTTTGTTATAAGCTACTGAAATCCTTGCTTCTGATTGGTTATCAGGCGATTTATCACTGATTTTTAGTAATTTGCCATTGAAAAGGGGCTTTGTGAAACGGGTCCCTGATTGACAACAGACCGAACAACAATTTGCATTACACCGAATGCCGTTCGGTCGGTTTGGAGTCGGTGCGGAATCGGTACAGCGGTGTGACCGAGGTAATATAACTATGTCACACCAATGAAACCGACTCCAGACCAAACCAAAAATACATTACCTCGAATGACGAAGAATCGGTCGGTTTATAGTCGGTTCCAGCGGTTTGAATGATGTATTACCCTTTCCCCTTTCTCTCTTTCTTTTCTTGTAGCAATGCAAACTGGAGATGGAATTCAAATTCTTAAAAGAAATTGGCATGGGCCACCTTACGCAGCTGATCGCAACCGGGAAACTCCCTCCTATTTTGCAATTGATCTTCATCTGTTACCAAGATGAACCTGAGGTAAGTCACTCATCTGTAACGTGTCATCAGTGTCATATATCTAGACATTAGTCTAAGAAGGGGCAAAACATTTCAAATTACTGTGATCCATATAACTCTTTAAGGAGAGCCCTGTATTGCTTTCCGGGGGGGGGGGGGCATAAACTCATTTCAGGAAGAAAAGTAAGTCATTTGAGATTACGTCTGCACTTCAACTCCTGTGACTTACAGTGGTTATTCATAAGTACTACTTTTAACTACTAAGCAAATATTATATTCTTGCCATAGCCAAGTTTACTTCAATCATTCAATCTGTTGATAATAACAAAAGCGCATTTTGTCCATCACTACTCTCTAAAAAAAATCGAGTGATCACGGACGTTACTCCTCTGGAGAGTGAAAATGTAGTGAAAATAGAGTGAACATTCACTCTTTTCTTCTTAGAGAGCACTCTAAAATCAATCGATTTTCACTCCTAAACAAGTGATCACGGACGTCACTCCCAAGAAAGTGAAAATAGAGTGAAAATTCACTCTTTTTTTTTTAAGAGAGTAGGGACTTTTAGATTTACACGACGGGAACGAGGACCGCCACGTGTGACATCCTTTTAAGGCACTGCCGGGCACGGCCCAGTGCCTTAACACAATGTCACACGCGGCAGTCCACGCTCTCGTCGTGTAAATCTAAAAGTCCCTACTCTAACTCTGTACCTGACACGACCCCTCATTCTTTCTGGACTCTAGGTCCTCAATGAACTGTCGTTCGTTGGTCCTGTCTTTTCGAAGCGGCCCGATCTGGTGGTAAGAAGAGGTGATGCAGTTCCTAACATCATCATGAAAACGTGCTCTGAAGAAGCAGTGTCGCTCGACGACCTCCATGTCAACAAGAACCTCCCCCTGGTCGTCTTCGCCGCGTCGTCCTCCTGACCTCCGCTTCAGGTACGTCCTCAAGATTGGTTAACAGTAGGCCTGTCTTCATCAGCTCGAGATTGCCAAGTAGCTCGCTATTTCTGATTTTTGAAATAATCCCGAAGTCACAAATCGCATCTTCATCATGCTGCTCGAGACTTGACTTTGAAACTTGAAACTCGAGCTCGAGAAATTAGCTCGATATATAGTGCGAGTCTTCGGACTGGTGAGGACGTACCGGACAAATAGCGGGATATTTTGCAAACTAGCCCAAGATATCTTGGGATGATTATCTCGACCAAATATTCCGCTAGTTTCAACTACGGGCTGATGAAGACGCAAATTAACTGGATAATTTGATGAGGACAGTCCTGTTACAAAATGCCTTTGCTGATGACTATCCCCAGAGGTACCACCCATGGACAAACTCCATCCGGGAGATATACTCCTAAGAAATTTACGACCCGGAAAACTACCACCCAAATACACCACTTTGGCAATTACACCCCCTGGAAAATTAAAGTCTGTGGTTATCAAGATGCCCTAGATGAGAAGTTGTCATAGTGGGTTATTGTCCAAGTGGTAGATGCATTGGTGTTAATTTTCCTATGGATAATTGTCAATTGAGAGTTTATCGAGGCAGTAGTCAAGGGCCATCTGTCTTTGGATCGACACTACTTTTTAAAAATACATTTGTCAATATATACTTTTTTTTGTAAATTTGCACCTAACAGCACTTTGTATATAACATCACCGTAGCAAATCGACACGTCATAAACAGAAAGAAAGACGTAGAAATGTGGATAGAAAAATAAAGCCTTTTGAAGAACAAAAAGACCTTTAGATGAATGTTTAACAAAGAGATGGACAAGAAAACTAGGAAATGAGGGAACGTTACGCCAACTCCCAAAACGGTTGAATATTTCACTTCGGGTGGTCCGTTGGAAACAGCATTTAAAATATTGGCATAAACATAAAAGCGTAATGCAATTGCTAGAAATTATTCAATGGTCCTTATACCTTTAGTACTGATGTATCATGTAATTGCAAATCAACTGAATATTAATTGTTGTCTTGTGTTTTATTTTCGGTAACATTGACAGGCCTGTTTAATAGGCGGGGCTCTCTCAACCTTGTTAGAGACCTACCGAACGCAGGCCGAGTTCTTAGTGGTTTACTTGGAGGAAGCACATGCCAAGGGGGAGTTTGGTATGGGAAGCAAGATGAGTAGGAACTCTAGACACACTTCTATTCATGACAGAATCAACGCTGCAAAGTAAGTTCGTGCATTCAATTTCATGTCATCGTCATCAAAAGTCATTATTTTTCACCATGCATGCAATGTTCCAGATGTAAGGATTGTAATAAAAACCAACCATGCTAGCAGTCATTGTCATTCATTTATTTGTTGATGATTTCGTGAAACATTAGGAAAAAATGGACTATTAATAGATTTAACAATTGGAATAGTTGATGTCTTTCACACTTTCATAATTTTGTAAAGTAGAAAGTAAAAACCAGCAGTTATTAACAACACTTTTAGTGTAAAATGTATGATCTCTGATAAACCTCTGTGTTTTGTATCACCCCCTCGGCAGGTTCATCTTTTGTTTTAATGCTTTTGTATTTTGTTGTAATCTATATTGTCTTTTTATGAATCTGTGGAAATAAATGAAATTGAAATCGAAATTATTAACAAATTTTGTTTAAAATGTTTTATCTATTTCTGTAAAAGCATGAAATTACATTCGGGTAAATTTGAATTCTGTTTGCAGTTTTACGAGAAAAGATAGTTAATTCCCTTTTTATATTCTGTCGTTTTTTTTTAATTCAGGGATCTTGTGGCGCTGGACAAAGCTTACCACGGATGTTTGAGTGAAGACGTTTCCGACACCAGCCGAGTGCGTGTCGTCGTGGATACCATGGACAATTCATTCACGTCTCGATTCGACGCATTCCCCGATCGCGTCTTCATCATCCACGACGACAAAGTCGCCTTCGTTGGTTCCGACATCATGGACCAGATGGAACATCCCGAACAGCTGATGACCGACGAAGTCCGTGAGTGGCTCAAAGAGAGAATGTAAGGGTGTACTGCCCGTCATTAAACTCTAGTCTTAGAGACGGTTTTTATTTTAAAGCGAGAGTCATCGTGAGCTTGATCGCTGCTATGCATACAGTTCAACACCCCGTGTCAACGGGCGAATGCGTATTCTCCCCAAAGTGAAAGGCGTTCGTCGACTGCACCATCAAACATCAACACCGGAAAGGCGGGAAGCAACATTATGTCATCACGTGAGACATGAATACAAGAAATTTATAATTCTAGTATTTAAGAAATCGAGGGAAGCCTTTCAAGCATCGATCAATTAATTTATTGTCAAAATTTCCGTGTACCTAATCCTATGTTTGATTCTATTTCTAAATTTCATGTACAATACACCTATGGGTAAAAGCTTATACGTGTGTCCCGATTTCTCTTCAAAACTACCTCACATGAGAAAAATATGAGGGCTACAAGTGACTGGAAAATGAAACGCCTGGCATAAGACCAATAAACCATGGAGATATCTATCTTTTATCTCCATGAATAAACCTTGCTCTTAATTTGATGCATGAACATGCTCAACACATTTTGACCAAGTGTCTTAGTGTTTCTTTTCCAGTGTGATGATTTTTATGAACTTTAAAAGTTGAGCTATATATGATTTATTTTCAGATTTCAAGTCGTAAATAGTATTCACACAGCATACAAGCTTTTTTGAATAACCAATAAGAAGATTCTATGAAACAGAGTCCTTATACGTAATACGACAATCTGATAAAGTTATTCTTTGGGGAAAAAATATATTAACTATTTCCTGTATTATTAATCATGTTGTCTCGATCATGCACGAATGATATCTTGATCACATGGAAATTAGAAATGAAAACATCTAGTTATGAATCGTTTCATTTTAGATTTCGTTAGAATTTAAGGTGTTATTGTATTGGTGGTAATATATTAGCAGCTGTTATATGAAATTGGGCATTAACTCTAATTATCGACAGTCTTTGAAATAACCATGTCTTTGCTGGGAGAAAATCTATCTCTTCTATGTTTCCTTTTAGGCTTATATACAAATTAAATATATATACAAGTAGATGACGAGCACGAGAAGTAGAATTTATTTAGATGATTGCACACGTTGATTATTAACCACTATAACACGACACCTCTACGATATCAATTTCACAAGCAATTTTTAATTTATACTCTACACATGTCTAAATTGTTTGAATATCAGTGCACGAAATATGATATTATACCTCTAAATTTGAAAATATACCCACAAATCCTTTCAGAAAACATTACAGTTAGCTGGGCATTACTATCCGTATAACAATCTTTCAAAGTATATCGTTTTACACACCTTTTCATGAATCATTATTTATCCAAATTTTATCTCTACGTATTCATTATGCAAATGTCTACAAATGAAACAAATATTTTTATAATTATGATATATTCTAATACAGTATTCCATGTTATCTGCTTTGTGCAAGTCCCTTCGTGTTATCCAAATCGATTTTATCACAATAATGATGTGCACTGTGTTCATGATATATCATTTTGTAATCAAATAGTTGTAAATGAGAATTGTTTGTACACAACTGGTTTCAAATATCTACAGTGTTTTATCTGGGATAGATAGACATAATATAGAACGACTTTTTCGAGGGGAATTACGTTGATGCGGAAAAATTCAGGACTTTATTCTACCTGCAATTGGCAGCACATTATATTTTTTTTTACAATATTCATAGATATTATTTTACCTTCCATAATCCATTCTCGTTAAATTCGTACTGTGTTATTATTCCTTTTTCCTCTTTTTCCCCTATTTTCTTGTTTTCTAAATTTTCCCTATTTTAATGTGTTCTTTTCACCTTGAAAACAGAGTACTTACCTTTTATTCTGTAATGGCATCTGGCCCAACAGCGTAGTAATGGTATATACAGGAACCAGCAGCTTGATAAGTAAATTAAGAAAGTATTAAGGTTGGTACGTCGTTTTGGATGGCAGAAAACAAAATACTCAACCAAACCATACACATTTAGACACCATGTTAGAACATGAACCCATGTCCCGAATGTAGTATTATTTGTAAAATGTTTCAGGTAACTGGCATTTTCATTATTCTGATGTATTTCTTTTGAGAACAGATTAAAGATCAATTAGTCACACCAACTTTAAATATCACACAATTGTAAAAGGTTCCAATGGGTTCATAAAATGCCAACGGCAGTGTTTCAAAGCAGCTGAAAAGTGTACACTGATACACGTTAAAACTTAGAAATGTATCATAAAAGTGGATAAAACTAAACATGCTCTAATTTACCTACAATTCATGTGTACTGTAATTCTGTGACAAACTCAATAGGCGAAATTAATTTAGTCATTTCATGATTTATTTATTTTTGCATTATATTCTTCATTCTAAAATGATTCTTGTTTCATCGTCTGGTGGAATGATTTAGAATTTCGAATGAAGGAAAATTTTACTGGGTTAAGAAGTTGACACTTTGCGTTCTATAAATCACATCGTCGAGTTATAAACATGGACTAACTTTAATTGTCTATGAATATCAACCAAGAATATTTATCATATCATTTTATCATGACTAATTCTCTTACTTGTCCGTCGTATTTCTATTTTGCTTTCGCACGTCCACTGTTTTGTAACATAATTATGTGCTACAGTTTAAACCCTGGTCTCTATTTCTATACGTGCACTTTCTATGTAAAGCATTCCTAACACTTTCATTGTCGATTGTATTCAGAAAGCAAAGATATATTATGTTGGAGTACTTAGATGAGTCTCACTAGTTATTGTACTTTTAGTAATTTATTCAATGCGGGATGCGCGTTTTTGTATTTGTATTAACGTGGTAGATGTTGGAAAGGGAGAGAATCCGTGGTTTACGGTAAACCCATGAAGACATCGCGCGAAAGATATTCAATATCAGTGTCGAAGTTGGAAAATTTTATTTATCAAAGAAATCACGGATTCTCTCATCTAGTAACATTCTCCATTTTGGTATATTACTTCCATGTGAATATAAGTGTAATGTATACATGTCCCCCTTAGTGTTCATGCACAGCGAGTTTGTGGTGTTCTTAATATTTGGATTTCTATGAAATAGAAGAAAGATATTATTAGAGCACGTGGTGCACATATTGCAATTAAAAATACACTAAAAACAAAACAGGAATGTCCTTGGTGTTTTCTTAAAAGGCTTTCAATGTATGTATGTATGTGTTGACTTTTGTTGGTTATTGTGTGTTTGTTTCACTATTTCGGGGGTGCAAGTGTCCATGTTTGTGGAGTTGTTTAGCGTGGAATGTGATTTGATTCAAAATCAGGTGATTAACACTAACGAGTTCAACAGTATGTAAGGAATATTGAGAATTCGGTTTCAATAATTACACCGTATGGTGCCCCGCCCCCCCCCCCCACTCCGAGAACGGACGGACACCATGCGTGTTACAAAAATGCCCTTTTCGTAACAAAAGGAAAAGGTCGACCCGTATTGACTTTACACACCGGAGTTTTGCTGAAAGGGGGGGGGGGGGGTGCTGAAAAAGGCTCGTATAACAAAAGAAAAAAGTCGACCCGTATTGACTTTACACACCGGACTTTTGCTGAAAAGGGGGGGGGGGGGGGGCATGGTGCACATATCGCCTTTAATATACACTACTAACAAAACATAACATGTCCTTAATTTTTTCTTGAAAAGGTTCCAATGTATTAAATGAATGAGTGAATGAGTGTTATATTGTATACAATGAACAAAGAAGAAGTAATTATATTTAAAAAGCTAATGATTGAAAAAGAGATACTGAGATTATTCTTCTATTACGGACGGCTTCCCGAGCTCCATCTGGAACCGCCCACACATAATTATAGTAATTGTTTTGTTAGCCTTTTCTACCGTATAGGCCTACATGTACTCTCTATTTTACCATACTATTCTACCTATTACTACTCTGAAATGGTAAAAGAACAATTCTCGAAACAAATTATGACACAAGATGGCAGCATATATACTATTAAAGGCTTGAAGATGAAGTGACTACGATTTTTGTTCACAGGCAAGTGCTCTGCGTGGAAACCAACATGAGAGGGTAGGTCGACTTCATTTTGTTGTAATTGTGCTGTAGCCACCCCCTACCCCCTCCACTCTCCCTCTCTTTCTCATCCACCCCTCCCCCCCCCCCCTCTCTCTCTTTCTCCTCTCTCGTTGTCGCTCTCTCCCTTTTCAACATATTTAAAAAACATAACTTTCTGTTTATCAGATTTTTAAATTTGTTTTTAGCTTACCTAGATGTATTTTTTGTTCGTGCTTGTCTAGTTGAAACTTAGTTGATTTTCCTTTCAACTAACACTCTAGCAGCTCTACACCACTCCAACTACTGGTAATAATAATTTTTGCTGTGACAAAACACTGTAAAATAAATATCTGTATTCTTCACAAAACGGCATGAAAATATTCCTTTATTATGTATTCCAATCACGAGCTCCCACATGCATGGGCACTTTACATACATACAAAACTTGATATTTGATTTGATCATGATTTTATTGCACAATACTGCTGACGGTATAATTTAAAGTATACACTTAATACGACAGAGAACCATCATTAACAACCAGTTGTTTAGAAAGATCACCCGTTTTATAAAGGCCATTGTTTTCCCACCAGTTTCTCATTCAATGTGTTTATTGCCATCAGCTTCTTTTAATTAGTTGCCTTAAATTAAACAACTCGAAAAATTTAGTTGCCTTAAATTAAACAACTCGAAAAATTTAGTTGCCTTAAATTGAACAACTCGAAAAATTTAGTTGCCTTAAATTAAACAACTCGAAAAAGAATCAATCCATTATTGCACATAAATGTGTGATGTTTGAACGCTACAAACATGACTTCAGTCGTGAAAGGGAAGTACTTTTGTCTTCCATTCAAAATTCTCCCTACTAGCTATTACTGCACCAAAGAAAGCAGGACTCGACACTATTAAACAGGTGCCCGGGACACATGGGTGCCGAAAATATAAGTCTGGACCCTCAAGATTCCGAAGTTTAATTCCAAAGGGAGCTAAATCTAATTTTGATGAAAATTGAGTTATTGATATCAGAACATTGTTCACTTAAATACCTGTTTTTTAACAAAAGTATTTACCTAAATTTTGGGAGCAATTATGAAAAATGCACCTTCTAATATTACTTTTCCATAAACGCCTGTACACAATCTGGTAAACAAATCCCTTTTTCGCTGAAGTTACAAATATGGATTTAGCTCCTTTGGGAATAAAACTCTTCAATTATAGGGCTCATGCATACAAATTAAATACAGTTCAATCAGGATCTCCTTCCAAAAACGTTAATGTTGAGCCCTGTTGAAGGGCAAGCAACCTATCATCCGGATGATCTTTCGTTTGAACTGTATTGACTGATAAAATAAATAAATAAAATAATGCATTGTACGCAAAAACTTACGTAAACCGACATAAAGAATACAAAACTTACAAAATATTTCTTCTTTTTTATTAAGTTCAGTTTCTTCATTAAAGGTACTATGTCCCATTTGCAGCCAACATCAAATTCTAGAACGTTGCAGGAATTATGAATATGAAACGTAATATGTCATATCTGTGACAACGTTAGCAGTGTCCTAGCTAATATTCAAATTGTGCAAGGAAACCCGTTTACTTTCTAGACTTCACTGTCAGACACTATTGAGTGACTCACTGACTTTTTTTGGTATTGGAAATGACATACAGAAAATGAACTGAAAAGGGTACATGAGCATTTGTCTACATCACTAACCCACTTCTTGTAATAGCCAAATTTAACTGATTGAAGCTTTACACAGCACAAAACGGACTAGCATTTAGTATAGGGGTATGGACATTAAGATTATTTTATATAAAGTAGGCCTACATGTAGTGTTTACAAAAAGTACACAATGTACAATGAACAGTTACTTTTCTACTATGCAAAACAAAATATAAGGGACCAGCTATAGGCATGAGACTTGGTAGGTCTTGGTCGGTACCGTTGTCATCCATCTTGATCTTCTGAAGATCTAAAGATCGTTTCAAACACAGTAGATAGGCTACAGTAGTTTGGAAAGTTTCAACATTAGTGGGCGCTAAAACAATTTTCCCCGTTTAGCTTTTGGGGGAATTTAATAGCGCCGTCCACCTATGTAATTTATGTCAGAATCGTTTTATAGTACGATAGTAAAATGCTGTTTTGACATTGTAAATAATTGAGAATTGGTGCCATCTTTTTAGTATGTAAGTAGTATACTTAGATTGATTGTATAACGTAGGGCATTTTTTTTATAGGATTTTGTATTCGAGCTTAACTTGATAATGGTATTTTATTAATTAGCACAATCTCACCACTATTGCCATTCATTTGATCCGCTGGTTATACGAGAAGCTCGCGATAGGTGGAATACGTAGCAACCTGATTGGTTTAAAGTTTATTCAGAGCGGCCGGTGCGCCGGAGCCGACTCTCTTTTGAATTTGTCCCGCAATTTTTGAATCAGTGGCGACTAGATTCCGGTGCCGGGAGGACCTACGTATTTTTGGTCCTCCTCGGCCTCGGATTGGCACCCTTCTATATTGGCATTTCGTACTTCGTAGTTTTGCCTCGATTAGGCATTTATTAAAATTGATCTACAGACTTACAGTTCGACTCGATTCGCTGACTGGTTTATACTGATTTAGCTGTTTTGGCTGGAAGCCTAGTTTGGCGCTGCTTCTGATATCCGCCATCTTGGATTACAGTTTTCACGAACTCAAGACAAGTTGAACTTTGACATTCGATTCTTTGTTTGTTGGGATCCTCATCACTCGTCCGCCACCATAACCACTTTGAAGTTTGTTGCGAACCCCAATATTAATATGAATTGGATATTGACATTATCGACCTTCGTTCCGTCTTTGAGCACCGTCGAACTCGAAATTTATATTCCACGTCTCCCCATCACCGAACGTGGACTCCGCATCCGATCGACATCGCCGACCTTTGGCTTTCGTTCATCATTCATTGTTTAATTGTACTATTATCACCGACGTCATCTATGATCTACCAAGTACCATCGTTTTTTCGACTTTCGTTTTTCGACTAAATTTGAGTCCGACATCGTTGACGGCTCTCGCATCTATTCGCTGGAAGGTTAGTTTGTATAATTTACTATGTAGGTTAGTCTAATTTGAATATAAGCGGCAGTCTTCCGCTATAGAAATAGACTAACTAAACCTGTGTACTTACATTGTTGTGTGCTGGAATTTAAGTGAGTAGTGTCATGTAACAAACGTCAGTCTTTCGCTTTAGAAATAGACTAAACTATTGATTCTGAATAACCGTAATTTGTGAATATGTTTGGAAGTTTATATGATCTAGAGTTCAGCTTGTTTGAATAAATGCGTAATTATTACCCCCCCCCCCCCTTTTTTTATTTTTCATTTTTTATTTTTTTATCTCGCTGCATACTTAATGCAACAGAATGAGGTAGTGAGGCAGCAAAACGATTTGACAAAGGTGCCGGTGGAGCAGGCGCGTACACAGGGGGAGGGTTTTGGGGGTTAACCCCCCCCCCCCTTTGGTATTTTTTTGTGTGTAACCCCCCCCCCCCCCCTCTAAATTTCCCTAAACCCCCCCCCCCCCTTTTGGATTTTTTTTTTTTATTAAAAAAAAAAAAAATTCCCATGGCTGACCTAAAAAAGCTGACCTTACCCCCCCCCCCCCCCCCCCAACGGAGCAGAATGTCAAATTTTCAAATTTTGATACCAAAAAAAAAAAAAAAAAAGTGTCCTCTTACATTCCTGAAGCTATAGAACCCTTAGAATTGATCAATGGTCAAGATGGTGGCCCGTTTGTTTTCAGGACAGTACTAGGATGGGCATTGGGTAGTGCAAAGAGAGCCAATTGACCCAAACGGATTTTGGTGAAAGCTGACCTAATCAAACAGATGATCAGCAGTGAGCGGTTAATTGAGGATACTCCTGAAAGATCAAGATAGATCAATGGTTCTTGAACATTGTGGAAGGTTAACTCCAGCACTGTGAGATTACGCTGCCACTCAAGAACAAGAATATCTCATTGCCAATTGCCAACAAACAAGCCACAAGCTGAACAACCTTTACAACACCTGTGATGGAAATTTGAAAGACAGCCACCTTTCTGCAGTGCTCCTGTCAAAATCTGCAGTGCATGCTCCTGTCTGCCATTTGTCTTGTAAGTCCCATGTGCCTCTTTTGGTGTTATGTGAAATATAAATATACTCTGCCTCAGCTTTATGTAGTATAGACTATACAGTGCCAGTGATTTTCCTTCAGTATAAAAGTGTCAATTCATCAGTTGTACCATAGTTGAGATACCATTTACCATTCGACTTTCAAAGAAATAATCTACTTGGACTTAACTGCTGATATCACCTAAATGCCCAACTCAACAACGGCCAGGAACAAGAGGAAGGTGGTAATAAAGGACTTACTGGAGGACAACGATTTCTTGTCTCCTGTCAATGCCCTGGTAATGAAGGCAGTTGATGCCAAAATACATGAGATGAAGACTCTGATTGAGAAACAGAACGGCGACATCCATGATCTGCAATGTAGTCTTGAGGAGGCAAAGTACGACGTCAAACAGCCGAGGAAAGAACTTGAATCAAGTTCTAACTCAATACAGAGAATCATGGCAGATCAAAGTGTCATCTGCCCCTGCAATTTTTCAGCATGTAATGGAGGTGCTGCTACAAGGGATACCACATGTTACAGTGTATCTGGATGACATCCTTATTACAGGCAAGAATGATCACGATCATTTAGCAACGCTGTCAACGGCTTACGTTTGAAAAGAAGGAAACGGGTGAAAGCAATCAACAATGGCAATGCTCCAGACTTGAGAGCTTATTTGGGATTACTTGCAAACTATGAAAAGTTTCTACCCAATGTGTCGACCACGCTTGCGCCCTTGTACGCATTACTTCGCAAAGATATGAAGTGGAAGTGGGGTTCTGCCCAGCAGAGAGCATTTGAAAAGTCGAATGAGCTACTAGTCTCATCGCAAGTCTTATGATTCACAAAGAGAGATCATAGTGTCATGTGATGCTTTGCAATTGCCGTCATCGCACACTGATTCGAAGAAGGATCTGAGTAGCCAATCGCGTTTGCCTTGCGTACTCTCTCAAAAGCTGAGAAGTATTCGCAGATTGAAATAGGACTAGCATGTGTTTTTGCATGTGATTTAAACATTTCCATGCTTAAATCTATGGCCTTCAAACGTTGGTCACTGACCATAAGCCCTTGCTAGACCTTTTCAATGAGGATCGACCCACACCCGTACAAGCATCGGTAGAATACAATAATGGTCATTAACTCTTGCGAGATAAGAGTATACATTGCGCTTTACGCCGACAAAGGCACACGCTATTGCTGACGCACTAGGCTGACTGCCATTACCCGACAAGCCAACATCAGTTCCAGTACCAGCCGAGACAGTATTACTGCTCAAATCACTAAATGACTCCCCAATTTCTTCAGCAAATATCGCGACATGCCAAATTCATGAAGAAAAATGGCATGCAACCGTACAAGATGGTGATCAGATATCAACCCGGTCAAGACAACCCTGCTGACTATATGTAACGAAGAGAGACAGTATCATACGATCAGACATGGACTGACATTCAACGACGGCATCGTACTTAAGGGACTTCGTTGTATGATTCCATGATCAATGCGTCCGAGCGTAAGGAAGAGACTGCATACAGCACGCAATGGGCATGGGCATCAAAAGCACTTTGTCGTGGGCGAGATAATGCGTCTATTGGCCGGGAATATCTGCAGACTTGAAGGACTATATATCCTGTTGCAATGCATGCAACACCTATGTCATCGCACAACCGAAAGAGCCCCTGATCAACCATCCTATACTGAGCCACCCATGGCAGAAGGTTGGCTGTGATTGCAGTCAGTGGGCAGGATTACCTGTGTACTGTCAACCATTTCTCAGACTACTTTGAAGAAGACAACCTCAAGGGCCGTAAGGACAGCAGTGCCATCCTCAGTTGGCTCAGACGTCACTTTTCCATTCATGACAAACCTGAAGTGCTCAAGAGCGACAATGGCCCTCCATTAAACTCTGAACGGTTCGCAATGACCGCAAGAGAATACAGATTCTCACACACCACCAACTCTCCGGAATTCCCTCAGAGCAATGGAAAGGTGAAGAGAGAGCTTTAAAGATTGCGAATGGACTGGTGAAGAAAGCACAAACAGCTGGTGAAGATTTCTATACGAGTCTACTCGTCCAGCCTACTACCCTTGCCGCGGACATAAACAGCTCTCCAGCACAAAGGATGTTTGGGTGACGAATGCAAACGAACATACCCATTGGGAACGAACTCTTGCAACCTCAACTGGTGTAGGATGTACGTGAGCGATAAAAGCAGAAACAGGAGAAACAAGCCCTTTACTTTAACCGCCACACAAGAGTTCTCCCAGACTTACAAGTAGGCGATCACGTACGCCTACAACCGTCGCGTCATAGGGATAAGTGGGACAAAGAGGAAGTGACCGAGAAAGTTCACATACGATTGTACAGGATCATGACGGACAGTGGGCGCGAATTCCAAAGGAATCGACACCACTTGCGTAAGATATCCGCACACTCCAAACGCGAATGACCAAGCTCCAGAGTGATTAGAAGACAGCGGACAACCAACTGTAACTACTCACCAACACCGATTACACACCAGCAAGCACACCAGAACAAACACTACGCAGGAGCAGTAGTCAACAAAGACAACCCCAAGTCCTTTTCACTTTCATGGCATCGAGGAGTGTGCATCTACAGTCTGACTGGGTCCAGTTTCATAAATGCCTTGCGGCGATTTATTAATAGACGAGGAGTGGTGAGACAGCTGCGATCTGACCAGGAAACAACCTTCATAGGCGCCCGCACCAAGCTGAGACAGGCCTTAGCTGAAATGGACCAGTCTCAAGTGCAAGACTACCTACTTCAGAACGGATGCGATTGGATACCCTTCAAGATGAATGTACCTCATGCATCTCACGTGGGCGGTGTCTGGGAAAGGCAAATCCAGACTATACGTCAAGCTCTAGAACCCCTTGTGCAAACGGTTGGTAGCCAGCTGGACGACAAAGCCTTTCAGACATTTCTGACAGAAGTAGAGGCTATCATCAATGCAAGGTGGTACTTCCTCCGTCAGGAGCCTTCCAGCGCGAGGACCTCTATTCTCGCAAGTGGTGGAGGCAAGTACAGTAAGCAGCCAACGAGTTGTGGGCTAGGTGGAGAAGAGAGTACCTCCAAGAGCTGCAGAGCCGCCAGAAGTGGGTCCACAAACATCGAAACCTCGAAGTAGGAAACATTGTCATAACACATTTATTGAAAATTACTTTTGATGATTAACTTACTCTGTCCATATTGATGTATATTTCATATGTATTGTAATTTGTAGGTTTATTTGTAATTTTTGTTATGTCTGATATGTAATTGTTTATCATTGTATTTTGTTTGTTTTGTATTATTATTATGTACTTTTAGTATAGTAACTTGTAACTTATCTGTTTTGTCCCACTAGTACCTTTACAGCCTTTGTAACGATGGCCGTATCAGTGGTGCAGATATTAGAGACACTAATCAGTGTTCTGCAAGGACTTAATGTACAGAAGGCGCCACCACCAGTTAAGGTGGGCAAGTTTAAGGGTTCTCCACAGGTTGCTGGTGATCTGTCTCTGCAGGGGTGGCTGGACAACTTCGATAGTTATTGTCGGCACTACCAGCTGAAAGATGCTGCAAAGGCCCGTCCTTAGTCGATCATTTGGGAGGAGTGGCCAAGGAGAAAGTCTTATGCAGGGAGGAGAGAATCCTCAAGGATCATCTGCTCCAGTGAGGAATGATTCAACCTCCAAGTCCAGATCCGCTGTTAATCAGGTCACAACAGTTGAGGAAAGACAGCAAGATTATCGCTGCTGGATCTGCAAGAGTAAGGATGGCACTGGACTGATCAATGCAAAACTTTCCTTGATAAGTCTACAGCAGAGAGATTGGAGTTGGTGAAGAGCAGCCGAGCTTGTTATAGCTGTTTAAGGCAAGCCGGTACAGAGCATCGGATGGCTACTTGTAAGAAAAGGAGACAGTGTCCAGAGACATAAAAAGGGCAACCGTGCAAGTTCTTCCATCATCCGCTTTTACACCCCAGTATGGACAACAATGCAGTGGGAGTAGCCCATGTAAGAGGGATGGAAGCCATGCTAGGTTTACTTGAACAGACCAGCTAAAGAGAGAAGGAAATGTGCTCCTAGATTCAGGGGCCCAGATCAGCATCCGCCAATGATTGCAATTTAACGCTTTTAATTATGCATGAACAGAGTAAATGCATACATATATATTTTGCGTGATGTATACTGAAGATGTTTATCTTTATTCTACTTACAGGTTGAATAAATTTACTCAACTGGCATATTGTTGGGTTTATACAACAAAGCGGAAATCTAGCCCGGTCTTCCTTTTTCGAGCGTACCAAGAGGTGTTCGTGACATTGAAGTACCAATTGAGGATTGTGTGGAAGTTGCTATCAAGATCAGGTGGATTATGCAAATTAGTTCACTACACATGTTACACATGGTTTCGCGGATGGGTAATTGATTTTGTAATACACCGCCCACGTTAATGTCTTAACACACATGTTTGTATTGAAGCACATTTTGTCACGTTCAAGGGTAGAGTGCATGTTTTGGCTGTGCCTGTGCTAGAGAAACTTGCAGTTACTTTTGGTGAACGTTTTAGTTCAACTGTTTGGCAGTCTTTATGAGGGCAAGAGGACTTGCAGTTTGTGTTGCTGAGTAGATTGATGGCTGCATGGTGTCTTCCTTCTTTCCTTGAGGATGCCGGACTGTAGTTGGGGGCTTCAGTGGGTTATTTGCTGTAGACATTTCATTTCTGTGTGTGGACACCGAGAATTAACGTTTTTTAAATAAAGCACCAGTTACACTAACAAATGTCTCTTGGGCTTCCTTTACTGTCTCATCACGTACTACGACAATACCCAATATCTTTAAATCGATTAAAACAAGTTTTTCAGAAATAAAACTAGTGACCTCAAAGATCAGGCATTGAAGAAGAGGTCGAGTGTATTCACCTTATTGATGCAATTCCCGTATCTCAGATATCGCAACAAGAGATCTGCCAATCTACCGCACGCGATACAGCCCTGAAAGCAGTGATGGACTATATTGCTTCAGGATGGCCGAGCACTAGCCAGGCTTGTACGTCAGAGGCAAAACCGTTCTTCAGCATTCGTCACGAACAAGCGCGAACGGTATCATGTTCAAAGTACTGAGATGTGTCATCCTCACGGACATGAGAGGTGAAATTCGCAAGAAACTACATGCCAGTCACACAGGCCTCGAGAACACACTACAAAGAGCGAGGGAATGTGTCTATTGGCCGAATATGACATCCGACATGAAAGACTACTTATCGTGGTGTGAAGCATGCAACATATATGCTTCATCACAAAGGAAGGAAACCCTCATACACCATGAATTACCAACGCGTCCATGGCAGAAAATGGATGTGACATTTTCGCGCTAGATGGCCATGACTATCTATGTACAGTGGACTATTTTTCGGATTACTGGGACCGGGAAGAAGGATGCGCCAGCTGTGATAACTAGATTGCAGAGGAATTTGACGAATCCCGGAAACGGTCCTAGCTGACAATGGACCCTCGTATAGCTGCAAACAGACATTGATGAACGAAAAGAGAAGAATCGCGAAAAGCAGGCACAATACTATAACCGCAGTGCCAAAGATCTGCTTGAACTCAAAGTTGGAGATACCGTAATAGTCAAGCCGAAAAAGGATGCCAGGGCCTGGGAAAGTGCCATTGTACTCAAGAAAGTCGGTATTCGGTCGTACTCCATCAGAACTGAACATCGAAAATCAAATGAACAGTTCAACGATAATAGTGACTTGGTTGTGGATCAACAATCTTCCGTAACGGACTATCCTCAAAACACATCTCCAACCACATCACCAACAAACACGACATCGAGTAGTGACAACTCCGGGCAGAACTCGGATCAATTCTGCAGAAGTCAGTGGCAGACAAAACAGCCAGCATATCTAAAAGATTAGAAACTCAACTGAACAAAGAACAGCTTAATAGTAAGTAAGAATTAAGGAAGTTCATCTGTGGAGTTGCTGTGTATATTAAGTTTTAAATATAAGTTTGTTGAAGTCGCTTCAGTAGCTTTATACCTCAGTGATAATTGAATCACTTGTTATTATATCCAAAATGTGTGAGCTGGTTTTTTAGGAATACACACATACATGTACATATTTACAATACAAAGAACAGGTTTTGAAAGTTTATATAAGATACTCAAATGTTTCAGTACTGCTTAATTCTGAGCAACATTGTTGGTATTATTTTAGTTTATATAATGACATGCTTCTTTAAAGAAGGAAAGGTGTAATGAGATTATTAATATATCCCAATATTGATAGTGAAATGGCGCTACCTTGTGGCAGACTTGTAAAAGTGAAATACATGCAGTAAATGAAGAACCTTTGTGTAACATCTTGTTATTTAGGCCTCTTAAATATAACTAGTATGTAACTCCGGTATTAAGGATATGATACTAACAGATGGATGGAAGGAAGGGTGGATGAATAGGTGAATGAATGCTGGGAAAGGTTTAGGACCTTAAAAGATATAGCCCATGAAGGTAAATTGAATTATTCAACTATCCTTTGGATTTTAGATAATAAAAAAAATGTTCCATGTTCCTATGGAACAAGGCTCAAATGAATGAACTGAAAGAGAGATTCAAAAGAAATTTGGGCCTTGAATATATTGATGACGGTAAATTGCACATTAGCCCTTCTATCAGCTGGATAGGACAAAACATCCATGTTCCTTGAGACCTAAAAGAAATTAGGGTCCTGAAAGATATGTGCTATTTTGTAAAACTGCAGATTCTGCTGACTTTTCTTTATATAGGATGTAGACATGCATGTTCCTTAGAGGCAAGCCTCAAATGGGTGCATTGAAAGGAAGATCCTGCAGAAATTGTGATTTGGAAAGTATTGTTCATGGTTGTCAATTGCATATCCTCATATTAACTACCCTTTGTATAGGGTGTTCATTGGGGAGGAGGCACCATCTGAGTGCATCAGTTGGTTTGGCAAAGAGACCATTACGGTTACAGTAATTAAGTTTGCTCTGTTTTTCCCTGGCTGCCATCTTTTGCACTTAGAATATTGCTACAAACAGTTGTATTTGTATAATTGTTGTCATTCTAATTTTGTAAACACCATGATTATATTGTTTTATTGTTATATTTCTTGAAAGTACCAAATAAATAATTAAAAAAGAAATAAAGGGAGATTCAGAAGAAATCAGGGCCTTGAAGGATATAGTCCATGGTGGTGAAGGTATCAGAAAACAGACAGTTTGGTCTGTCCTCCACCTCTGCGTGTACGCAGTGTATCGGCCATCGCTGCTGCCTGGCAAACTCTCCTCCGAACACCGCCCCCAACCGGTTGAGACTCACCCGCAGGTCCCTCTCGAACCTCTCCCGGAAGCTACCGATCCGCGTGTTCTCCCCGACGAAGAAGATGCGACTCACCAATCGCCGCACGTTGAGAAGGTCAAACTGGCCGAGGAGTTCGGTTACCATGGAGACAAGGTCAAGGCACTTGTACATGTACTCGGTTGCCAGAAGGACTAGGAACTCTGAGCGCTTACACGAGTCGATTCCTTGGAAGACGCATAGGATGCTTCAAAAGAGAAACAAATTGCAAACATTACCGAACTACGGTACATATGAAGTAAAAGTACCATTGATATAACACATGCCAATTTCTTTGTTATACACAGTCATAAGTATGTGCAGATTTAGAAACTTTAAATTTTAAGAACCCTAAATTTCAATTTCAATCAAAATGCACCTTTATTCAGAATTCATTAAATTCATACATCAAAATATCACTGTAGCCCAATCAGAATATTTTAAATTGATATGTGATTAGAACTATGTAAGGGCTATGATTGAGGCAATTTGTGCTATGATTAGCATCTCAAATAAGTAATATTCATATGAGAAATGTCTTACCTCTCTTTGAGCTGAAGTGCAGTACCTGACTGCAAAACACCAAGCTGTGAATTGTAGGCATACTCTGAAGGGTTTTCTGGACGGACGGCAGCCATTAGGTCACGAGCAGGTGAAAGGGCAAGGGTCATGCGTTCAGGATTCGTGTTCAGCATGAGGGATGGCGCTCTGATCTATGAATGGGGATGGGAAGAAAAGGAATAGACTAGTTTTTCCAAATTGTATTCAAAATTGCTTTTCAGAACAGCTTGCCAGAAGTGCGTCCAACTCGCAAGATCATATGTGACTTTGTAAAGATGGTATCAGGTGAAATTCTTAGCATGTCATCAGGGTTCTGGAAAAAATAAAGTAATACACTGGCCTCACAATATGGTTGATCTTTATTATAATTGGGCCCTCACAATTACCAATGAAGATATCAAATAATTTGCAGAGTAGAACATATGTCTTTCGATAGACGTTGTTGCCAGAGCAGGTCACCTTGTACTTAAGTCTACCGGGATGGCTCTTGGGTTCTTCACCACTAGACTAAGATAATCCAGGACACGAGCGAAGCCGATGGGTTTGCACCTCACCAGGGCTGAGAACAGGATGTTCATTGACGTTGTGAATCCTAACATAAGTGTTCAAGGAAAGCCAAAAGATGTGGTCTTTCCACGTTGCTGAAGCATGTTAGACTGTACTTTCACCTACCTTACTGAGGTTTGGGTTCTTCACTACCAAACTTAGAACCAGATAATCCAGGACATGAGCAAAGCCGATGGGTTTGCATCTCACCAGGTCTGAGCACAGAATGCCATCGATGATGGGTGTGATGACAGTGTGATGGACGTAGCTCTCTATAATGAGGCATGTCTCTGCTCTGGCGTTGTCGCTGACATGGGATGCTACGTTGAACGGTAAGATGCTAGGAGAGGTAGATAGGATATATAGTTTGTAATACATCCATGTTTCTTATGGATTCAGTGCGTGTGGGTACCAAGGACACTGACTGATAAGAAATGTACCTTCACTTTCACTTCCATTTACAAAATGAGGAAATCCTCGGTTTGGGGGTACTTCTATTTAGGTGCTCTATTTGCACGGGAAAAAGTGGGTCCTTAGTTATGCATTTCCAGATCTTATCTATGATATACATGTATTTCTACAAAAATTTGTGTCCTTGATTATGAAGTAACACACTGATGTTTATTTTTGAGTCATTGATTCACACCACAATTGTGTATGCTTGTGTGGCAAAGAGACTAAATCGAAACAGAGTGAGGCATGCACAAAATATTTTTAAAACGGTCCCAATACAAATAGAAATATACATGTAGTCCATGCTACATCTATTTTTATTCTTGATTAAGCAAGTGTGCAGAATGGTGACTGAGTGGAAAGCTGGTAGAATCTCATGAATAGTTAAGTAACCTGTTCCAAAGGGGCTACCAGATCTCAAGGATCTGGTATTATTTTTGTCAAGACTATCATTTATTATGTGTGTAGTGAATAGATAGGAAGTGACCTTCCAAAATCAGTTTTCAGTCATCAAGTAATATTTTTTTATATTGCATAAGATATCATCAACTTACCAAGTGTATCCCAGGACACGAAAGAAGAGGTCCTTGACTATTTCCAGGTCTTTTGGAATCATATTGATGGGGGTTCGGAGACAGATCGGCTCCGCTTCTTGAGAGAAGTCTCTGATCAATCCTGGACGGAATAACTCCTGCAGGCTACACCTCAGCTCAGAGTTCTTGATTCCACCGATCTTGATGGCAGCATTGGTGGTGTCCTCAAGGGCTTGCAGAACCCTCTTCCGCACTTTCCATCCGCTTCCCAGCAGGTTCAGAGAGCAGAACTGCAGCGGCATGCCACACTCCAACCCTGAGACCTGTGAGAAGCATTTCTCTCTCCCCTTCCGCCCCTTCCTCAGTAGCATCGCGATTCGATGGTTGTAGAAGGCCTTCTTCTCAGACTCCAGGAAAGGCCAGAGTTCAGCAAAACTGTTATCTTTCTGAGCTATGCCACCAAGCAGCATGTGATCTGTTGCAGCATCCAGGAACCTTGCATCACACGCCTTCAGTCTGCGAAGAGGAACTACTGTAGACAACGCCGAGCGCAAACGGATGTGCCGCGAGGACTCGGCCCTGCGCCACAGCTGAGTTGAATCAAAGAACGAAAATGATGTGAGGTTCTGTGCAATGTTGAAGGATTCGACTTCATCCTGTTGGTTCATGACAAACCATTGCTGTGAACATTCCCTGCGTCTGAGACATGACAGGAGACGAAAGCAGAGGTTCTGGTACAAGAAGGGTACAAGAGCCGAGGAATCAACACGGTCCCTGTACTTTTCCTCCAGGTCAAATAATCTATACAACTTTTTCCACTGAATCTTCCTGTTGACGATAAAATAAAAATTCAGGAGAAAAAAATCAGGCTAAATTTACAGAGATGGACCATATCCAATGAAATACAACTTGATAGAAATGGAAAACTGAATGAATGTAGAATACAAATATAAAGGAATAAAGAGTATTTACCATTTCATTAATGCACAAATTTAAATTAGAACCCGATTGTTTCCTCGTGATAAAAGTGAAAACAGATTAAATGTGAAGAGAATTCAGATATATAAAATCTTGTGTATTGACAGATATTTCAGCTTATATGTTATGCTTAATACACTGTACATTTGAATCATATGTACATGTAAGTCATAATTTATTCATATACAAAGTGAAATTCATTTGTTTTGTGAAATTTTATACTGTTATGCTTGCAGGTAGTAGGATTTAGTTTTCTTTAAAAGAAAAAAGAAAATATAAATTGAAATTAACTTTGTCTATTTACAAAAGGAAAGGGTTAAGATATATCATTTTGTTAGATATTTAATGTTTAATGTGTTCAGGTAATCAAAGAAAAGAAAATGCCTTATTATAAAATGAGGGCATTTTATTTGTGAGAGGAAGACTAGTTTGTTCATGTAGGTATTTATTTTGAAATTCTTACTCCCCTCTATTCACTTCCATGATTCATTCCTTTCATACTACGATGTAGGTCATCCCTCATTCACATTTTTCATCCACCATCCTTTCATCTATCTGATTGGTTCCAATGTTCACCAGATGCAGTCAAGATTAAAATATAATTTACGTATATATGAATAGTCATCAATCATGAAAATGAAGGGGAGTTTAATAAGTTAAAAATAAATCCCTACACAAATATAAAGGAATAAAAAGTATTTACCCTTTCATTAACGCACAAAAGCGATATTAAAACCTAATTTTCCAAATAATTGGTCAACAGGGGTCAAATTTGCCTGACTCTAACTTCTAAGTTACAGTGACGACATAACATGTGGACCCCATCGGTTCACCTATATAGCTGAGATGATAAGCATTGCTTAACTAATTCATAGTCATTGGAAATATGAGTAGGTTACTCCTCATAAGATGATGTCATCGATCAAGTCGATAGCAAATTTCTAGGTCGACAACTTCCGATTTTCAGAGCTTTGCCTTTGAATTTTGAGTTTTCAGAGAGCTGATACTGCTCTGGCAGTGACAGACACTAAAATGGCATATAATTGATAGTATTGTAAGCTTTCCGTTGATACATAATTCATCCATTTCATTTTCCAGTTCGGATATATATAGACTTTAAAAAGTCTAGTTTAGGTTGGATAAGATATCGGATACGCGGGGCTGCCGACCTCAGACAGCTTCGGAACAGCATACTATATCAGCGCATGTATCCCTCAATTGATAAACACTGTCATGCGATGATACGTACCAAACTGAATTGCATGAAAGAATCGCGTTGAGATATTTGCATGTTGACTGTAATCTTCCAAGATCACTCAGGGAACAAAATGCAGCTACGTTCATCCAAATAGTTTGAATCGCCAGGCCGTCGACAGCCATTGCTATACAAATATAAATAACTATGAATATGACGAAGAAACATTTCGAACTGTTCAGGCCAGGCCAGGATCCCGGGCCAGGATTAGGAAGCGTCGATCAGCGGTATGTAAGTTATTAAGGTGAACGCACTTTCCATTGTAAACATTAGGTTTTGTGTTTACTAATTTACTAACTACTTTGTGACATTGAGTTATAAGATGTCGCTCTTCATGTTTATTGCTTTGTGTCTGAATTTTGTCCAGAGAAAAACGGCGATCTCAAGCGCGCTTGTTTTAGTCAGTCAGTCAGTCAGTTGGCTAGTTAGCTAGCTAGCTATAAGTAGGTTTTTGGTTATATATAGTTCATAAAAATAATAATAATAATAATAATATGTCTTTTTTACCCAGGGGCAGGGTAGCCTCATCAGTATTCATACTGTTCTCCCTGAGGGCCCTGCATGCAATCATAATTTGTTGGTCTTATCTAGTTTTGTTTGTCATATTTTAATTGTTGGTTGTTCACAATTAAGCGACCCCATCCCTATGAGATCGACGAGGGATCTTTCCCATGTCTTAAATTTCTGAGAAATTTCAATTTGCTGTGGCGGATCGTTTCGCAATCTGGTATACCGTTGCAAAGCAAAAAATGCTTATTAGTTTATCCGATATTTCAGCAACAAAACTCATTTAGTCAGTTTTAGAAGTGATTGTAAAAGCTAATTTTTCAACTGATACATTATCTCAGCTACTTATTTTGTGACGATCACCTTTAAAATTTGTGATTTTTAAAAAGCATTTTTGAAAAGTGTGTCCCATATCTCCCTGACTGTCCAACTTCACCTCAAGCACTGTCCGCGTAGTTTACCAAATTGTTGTTCTACACAACAAAAAATCTGTCCAATGAAATTATCAAAGTGGGTACTAATGTGAAAACTCCCATTTTGCAGAGTTCGATAATTATAGGAGATACAGAATTTTACTCCATTGATTTTGTGACTTCAAAAACATATATTTGCTATAGATTTGACATGTTATTAATTTTCTACTTTCTTTTTATTTCTTGTTAATATATAATTTGCCCATTGAATGATCGGTATAAGCATGGTCCTATTACGGTCCATGATAAGAATATCCACTGCTCTCTCTCTTTTCTATCCAGTAGAGTTGTTGGCCTCTTACAATACTGAGAGAGAGAGAAAGAGATCAGATTAGAGGAAAGATACAGAAAAAGGATTAGAGATCCTCTATTATATTGGCATATCGACGACCGCAACTCCATCCTCTTTTTAGACTTTTAGCAAAGAAGGCATCCAAATAAATATAGATTGCATACAGCATTCAACCCACCGGGGCATGTGTAATATGTTAGAATCAAATTAAAGATAGGCCTATATATAAAGCATCTCTGAGACAATGTAGCCGCGATTGAGCATGTACTTACTAGACACACCATGCAGTAATCTAATCAAGACTTATTGCGATCCACAGCTTTGCAAAACAGCTTTGAGGCATGAGGAAAGATGCTGTAGAAGGCCTGCAATTATAGTGCCGTTTGATTTCAGCACCGTGTAATCTCATAAAAAAGAGGCACAATTAAGGTGATTGCATTTCAGATTTTCTATCCTTGTTTTGGGGGCTTTTCTTGTAGTTGTACAGGAACTTTGGACGAGACCTCGATCTCGATTGGGCCTTTTAAAATCGGATTTACCCCCTCAACATAATGTACAATAATTACAATGAATGGACATTGATTAGTTTCTGGGTTGGGTTGGGGGGGGGGGGGCGGCATGCCCCATGGATTTCCTAATTGCCACCATGGCTAAAGCTGAAGGACGTATATCAAAAAGCAGCTGATGACTGTCCTGTTACGATAACTATAGGATGAGAATAGAAAATTCACAAAATTATAAACATAATTATCTGACTGCAGCGGAATTTGTGATTAATTATTGGTTTTAATTTCGATGTTACTGATTAAGGTGGGAAGGGGTGCATGACTCATCATGGTCAGAGCTGAAGGATGTGTTGTCTATGTTGAATAAATGTAGCCTACCGTACATGTTTGAGTGTAAGGGAGAGAGAGAGAGGGGGGGGGGGGACGAGAGAGAGAGAGAGAGAGTGGGAAAGAGGGATACACAGATAAATTGGTAGATAGGTAGAGTGCCGGAGATAGGGAGAGAGAGAGAGGAAGGGGAAAAAAAAAGGGGGGGGGGGGAGAGAGAGAGATTCATAACAATTAATACAGGCATATATTGTAGAATACTTATTAACTACGGTGGAATTTCCTTTTTTATAATATTTTTTAACTTTTTATTTTGAGGGGGAGAACAGGGGATGGATGACCATGACCAAGACCTATTTTATTTTAGAACACTGCAAAAACAATGCTTGTATTAACCTCCTATTTAAATCAAACTAGATTTAAGCTTCTTAACTGCTCTTAGTTATTTACTACAGGTCAAATAGTTGTATGGGAGTTTGTTATCTCAATATGATAAGAATTAAATACCCATTGTTTCAACCAAAACGTTCTCCACTGTATAGGCCTACCTACTTGAGTTATACCGGTATGTGAACTATGTACTTCTCCTTACAACATCATGCTCGCAGTAGTACAGAAAAGAAATAAATCATTTCCTCCTAATATCATGCTAAAAAGAGATTCATCACAGACAAAAGAAAACAAGTAGACAAGTTTGGTTTTGCTCACAGTTTACTTTGACATTGTCATAATATATACTGCACACCAAGATGTTAATATACACATCAATCAAATTAAGTTGCAGTAACAGGGCAAAAACATGTATGTAGGTGGAATAAAGGCATGAATAATAATGCCACAACAACAAAATGAAGCAATGAAAAAACAATTTATATTTTTATCTTGTTTATGTTCACAGGTCATTAAGGAAGTGATTCCCAAAATGATGAGAGAGAGAGAGAAAAAAAAAATGCATTTCTCGATGACTTCAGTGCGTTTCCAAATAAATTCAAGAAAAGTGCAATGCCCAACAAACCTATTAAATATACATAAATTTAAAAAAGCTGATGTCCACATCCAGAGTAGTCTCATATACAGACTGTGCCATGCGGGAGCCTTCACAATATATGACTATGCGCCACATAACAAAATAATGAAACTTGATTTTCAAACGGTGTCATGAATTTGAGATGTTCATATAGAGTCATTGTGCTTGATACATGAATTATACACATGGGAATATCTGTTTGAAAATGGTAATTATCATCACCTATTTCATACTGTACCCAGACTGCATCCTTAAATGCAGATGAAGTAATTTGACTGATTGACTTATTTAAATTGCACCGACTTCCCTTTTTCTCATTTTTATCCTTCTCAATGCAGTCTGTGGCACAGAGCATAAAGAATTTCATCACAAAATGACAATTTCATCATGAAATAAGTTTTGTTCATGCATTCAGTTGCAGCTCATGATTTTTATATAGGTTAAGTAGGTTGACATTTGACCTTCGTTGGACCATCAGAAGCACAATGATTTGCTGTAAACCTTGACTAAAATTAGTCCAATTAAAAAGAAAGAGAAAGAGAGAATAAAAAAAAAAACAGGCATTTTTTTTTTTTTTTTTTTTTTTGGGGGGGGGGGGGTCGTAGCAGCCTCGTAATGATAATTCCTATTTACTACATGATCAGACATAAAAATTACTTGTACATATTTTCTTTCAAAATTCATATTCACTCTATTTAGTGACTTGACATCATTTCAGGAGCATGCACTGGTGACACATTCGGGGAAGTAGTGGATCACCTCACAATATCAACCATTACCATCAAAATATCATACACATTAACTTTGTTGCTTTAACTAGATACTAGATATTATTCTACTTGCTCCTATGCTAGCAGCATCAAGTTTAGAATATTTCTCTTATAAACAATACATTAAAATGTGTTATCTGTTTAAAAAAAATCTATGTACATCCATGAAACTGACGTAAAAAGGGCATGAGAACACAAGAAAGCTTTGCAGGGTTCATAAATTTGAATTCAAACATGTTCCATGCAAGACAGATAGTTGATTCAAGGAGGTATCTCTATGCTCCTTGGATGATTTGATAATACACATGTACACTGAGAGCCAGGAAGGCATTAACTATACATCATCTGTTGAGAGCTAAAAGGGTGTTAAAGGGCAACTCAAAACAACAATTAGGAAAATATGAATGTTTGAAATATGACACCTCTATACAGCCATGCAAATTTCAAATTGCTAATTTTGTCATTGGATTGTGACCGTTAGACTACTCTCCCGATCGTTGTATATAAAACTATCATCAATTTCTGTTTTTTCTTTTAAGTACCTTCTTCCTTGGGGCACTACTGAATATAAATTATGGCTGGTATATTTAAAGCAGAAAATAACCTCCTGAGTCAACACGTTTTGAAGAAAAACAACATCCTGGTGACATTACCTATTCAGCCAATGTGAAGTATAATGATTACAAATTTTAAATATTCATCACTTTCTTCTTTTTTGTCCCATTTCGTTCAAACTTTCGCCAGTCTGTTTCTCTGCTTTCTTTTAGCGTTGTTTGCTATTGAGGATGGATTTCCTTTTATGTCGATAGGCCTGTCTTCATCAGCTTGAGTTTGCCAAATAACCAGCTATTGTCAGACTCAGGATATCCTGAAGCTCGAAATTGCGTCTTTATGAGACTGATACACAAATCACAAACTAGCTCGGACGGGCGCAAATTAACCCGCTATTTCCCAAATAGCAGGATATTTTTTAAACAAGACCAATACTTCTCAGGATATCTTCTTGACCAAATATCCCACTTATTGCAACTGCAGGCTGATGAAGGCGCAAATTAACTGGCTAATTTGCAATCGGGATAATTAAAATAGCGGATTATTTGGCAAACTCGAGCTGATGAAGACAGGCCTGATGTAAAATTATACATGGGTCAACACTCTTCAGGCTCTCAAAGAACAATACATAAATAATTTATGCGAATAAACACCCTTCAAGTAACATCTTACAAGACAATATGCTTCATACATCTGGTTAGTAGACAACTAAAATTAAGATACATTGCATACAGATATATAAGTGTTACATTTGAACTAGAAAAGGAAAACAAGAATAATAGTGTAGCATGCGACACAGTGGATGGGCAAGGGTTTTTTCCACACACTGGAGTTCCTTGTAATATGTAGCATCTGTGCATAATTAGTGCATATGTACAATTCAATTGAATCAAGATTGTCAAAAAATTATTGATATTTTACACTACCCTATTACTACATAATCCAGAATATCATATGCAATATTTCAGCCTCAGTAAAAAAAAAAAGGAAGAGTCTATACTACCAACTTGAGCTTTAAAAAATGATTTAAAAACAAACAAATTAGACCTTCAAATGGGAAAAAGAGATGAATAATTCATAATGCTCAATCCTTTCTAGCTTCTACCTAATAAATATCTGCAGCAGAATGCCAATAATAACAACAAAAGATATCAAATACACTTTGGCAGCAAAGGTAACAAAAAGAGCAAATGGGGGATTTTTGTATCTCTAGTTGTTTTACAGCATTTGATGGATGCAGTGTTAATGTTGATAACGAGCAGTTCATGGGAGGTAGAAACAATGCTATTAACATAAATTAAATACATGTACCTGTAAAGAAATATACTGCAACTTATAATACATGTACAAATAATAACTTACATGCATGTGTAAAACTGTAAATCCATTAAATTAAAATACTTTTTCATTGACTACAATGTACATGTAAAGGCATACAGTCAGTGTAGAACTATCCCTCATTAGTTTTCCATATACTTGTAAGCAAATGGATATTTTTTGGACATCAAGCGATTATTTTTTTGTAATAAATGTGATGTGATGTATATAACAAATATTGACTGCCTATTTTTGGATCTCAGTTGAAACTATAGCTCCTCTGTGATCTGGAGACTTGATCTCCGATCACAGAACAGTTTTGAGATCACCTTGGGCAATAGTTTTAACCATGCCCCTTAAAGCAATCAATATTTGTATACTGTTTATGATTGCTGCAGATACAACTCTTTTTTGTTTATGGCGCATAAAATATGAAGAATCTTCGCTGAAAGGTTACAGCTCACACAAATGAGTAATCCCCCTCTTTTCTTTCAAATGGGCAAAATGCTATACCTGTAGCTTAATTTAGGGGACTCATGACCCGCTACGCAAATTGAATGCCTGGTTACTACATGACAACATTGTGGTACATACTGACATGATTTTCTGCGGAAAATTGAAGCTTTCTGGCTACCGTATATCTAGTGAGCTAAGTTCTCAAAAATCTTGAGGGATACATCCTATATCTATAGATGAATTTACAGCTCTAAATTTTTTTATTTTTTGTTAGTCGAGATGCTGCACGGTTTACAGAGGTACAGTACACCGTACACGTAGAAAGGTTTTTTAAATTTACCTACATTTAGCTTATAAACACTAAAATGTACTCGCACAAGTTCACATTTTAAAAAAAAATCCATAACAGCCCAATTTCAGTACAAATTGAAAACAATTTCTGCAATACTGTATAGTGAATCTGCATGAAACATTTGGGTACAACTACGAGAATAGTAATCTGTGTTTATAAACATGAACAAAAATACAAGAATATGTGCTCAAATAACTAGCCACCGGTCCATATGGGTCATGGTTAACACGGCCAATGCATTGATCAGCTAGCACGTGACAATTCACACAAGTTTGATTTAAAAAAATAGCCAGTGGCAGTTGGTTACATTGGAAATCGAGTATCCGGCCCTGGGGGTGTTTCACAAAACGTGTCATCAGTGACAAATGACAATTTGTGTTATAAGCTGCTGAAATCCTTGCTTCTGATTGGTTATCAGCAGATTTATCACTAATTTTTGTTATTTGTCATTGAAAAAAGGCTTTGTGAAACGCCCCCCTGCTCTGTATGCAATACATCAACATGTAAATCTGAACCTACCGTACACACAATAACACATGCTCACATGTGATTGTCATCAATTAAAAGGCCATAAGGGTACACGAACATGCAAAAAACATAAGATATTTATGACACTACGCCACAAAGGCATAAATACATAGTTTACGTAGCACTATTACAACTCTCCTAAGGATGGTTCACGTATGTATTGCACAATTTTCATAAATTATTGTATAATACCATATCACCTACATTTAAATGTTATTAATGTATTTCTTTCCAATGATTAAGTTCTAATGATTTAATGCTTTCCTCTAATGCATCATAATAATACCACTACATTAATAATAAGCACATACATGTACGAATACATGCTTTAAAATGTTAACATACTATATAACTTGTAATAAACAAAAAATACATAAGTACAATGCAGAAAATTATTCATCACAAAATTAAATCTATCTTTCTTTTTACAAGGTTTATTTTTAATCATTATTAGGCTTTAAACAAAAATACACATAAAGAATGTACAATGCATGTACATGTACTGTAAGTATGTCTGGCAAAATGGCATACTCTTGATTTTTGTGTGTGAAAAGTATGGATAAAGGAAATATACAAAAAGGAAAGTTACATGGAAGAAAGATCATTCGAAACGGCATGGTGTACACGTAAATGTACACACACCAAAAAAATGTTAGTTATTAAGAACCCCGTCACCATAATGCGGATTTAAAAAAAAAAGTGCTACACACTAGATGAGTCATGATGCAAAGCACTGACGTAACTTACATGTACATACATGTAAATGAAGGGGCATTGAAGATTATAATTGCTCTGAATATATGTCAAACAATATCCTTGCATCAAAGTAGACATTAAAGAGTTCTTATTTATTTTCATGAATTACAATTTATCAAAACTATGAAGAAATATGAGTAAATGGCTACGGGAGTACCGAGCCAATTTTGTATTATTGGAGAATGAAGAAAGATAGCAATAACGTACACTCTACTTTCATCTCACCTCATTAACTGTGTACACATAGTCCTTTTAGTTGACCTAATAAGTGAGTTTGCCATTTAAGATGATCCACAAACGTTTCTTTCTCTGAATTTGAAAACTTGAAAATTTGAAAAATATTAGATATATTTCGACTTAGAATATTGTAAAATAGAACTTTTAGAACTTCAATTCATTCAATAACGTTTATCAATACAAAAGACACATCTTTGGAATGTTTTCTTGTTAATTTTTATCATAAATCTTGTGTCTGGAGGGGGAGTATATATTTTTTTCTAGAAAAAGATCATCTATCTTTTTTGTACTTGACTTATATCATAGCGAAAAGTAATTTCAATGCTATTAACAAAAAAAATGCATATTTCTTCACATAAATAGAACACTCAAATATATACTGCAGTGTAACATTTCTCCTGAAAGAGTTGTAATCTCAAATTTAAGTTGAATTGATCAACAAACAGAATTTGACACGTTCATGATTAGAGGAAAAGTAAAACATATTATTACCGGTAGCTTAAGTTGAAATAAAGATCATAACAAATCTTGCTCTTTCTCCCAGGTAGTGTTAACCATTTGCAGATGCTGAGATTTAAGAAACCAAATTGATAAGCTCGTCTACCTATTCACATTAAAATGCCTGAACGACTTTACACCAAAAATACAGGCCTATTTCAGAGGTATTAGAGATAATCTTTAAAAATTTCAGCGTCTTAGTCACATAATGTGAATATCTTCTAACACAACTTATCATAACATTTTATTGAAAATGTTCATGGATGATGGAACATTATCCTAACTAGTGCATATAAAAACCTTTCAATTCAGAACATGAATCAGGAATCAGGATGCAATCTGTAATATAAGAAACATTGATCTAGATTTCGTAGCAAATGGTTGACACCACCTGCTCTTTGTAATGTGTGTGTGCATAATTTTAAAAACGAAACATATCTTATTACTAATGGTTCTACTAAGAATTTGAAACCAGCATAAAGCATGAAGTTTCTTAGCAGCATATCCTAGGCTTCTCTTCAGGTTCTTCTAACCGTAGCGTTTCCCGCGGCGCCGTAAACCCACCCTTGATGCCATCCCAGCCTTCCATGATGCGCAGGTCACCGTCTTTCAACTTGACATAGATCTCTTTCGCCATGACGGAGAATGCTGCCTCCACGTTGGTGCAGGCCTTGGCGGACGTTTCAATGAACCTCATCCCGTAGGCCTGGGCAAAGCGTTCCCCTTCTTCTTTGAGGACCTCCCTGGTGTCCTCTCCCAAGTCTGATTTGTGACCCACCACCATGTATGTGGTACTGTGGGGATAGATTACATTTTCCTGGGCCTCGATCAGCCATTCCTGCAAATTCTCGAAACTCTGTCTGTTTGAAATGTCATAGACGAGCATCACGCCAACCGAGTTCCTGTAATAAGACGTGGTTATGGACCTGGAAAATGGGAGACAAACAGTGATGAGAGAAATTACATTATCGTTTATCTCCAATCTTCTTACATTTTTACAACAGACTGGTTCAAGAACAAGAGTGATCTAGATCTAGACATCCAGTTTTAAACTACCGTACTATAATAAAACAATTACAAATACTACAATCTAGACTCTACTACTAGTAGACCTACATGTATCAACTATCATGTTTACTGGTCAGTGTGTGTTTGGTTAGCCGACAGGTTCTTCTGTATCCGGACCGTTGATTTAAAATTAAAGCAGCATCTTGAAGAGTTTGACTTGCAACATTTCAGAAATCATAATTCAAGCCCAATTAGGATGGTGTTACTTCAATACTTCATAGGCCTACTTGTTAATCATTTAATGAAAGTGACTTAGAACTAGTCTAAGTCAGTTAGATGATTTATAGATGGTAAATCATTAACGTGTTAATCTGTGTTATTTGACTAATTTCTAATTTGATGCATTGTTCATCTAGTCTAGACGTAGACCTAGATCTAGTCGGAGTCTACATTTCAGTAAATCTGAAGGCAAAAGACGAGTAAGTGATGGCTTTATTTTTGCTAAGCGTCCGGACACACACAACCCCCGTCATACTCACTGGCTACCTCACTTACCTGAATCTTTCTTGGCCAGCGGTATCCCACAGCTGCAGCTTGACTCGCCGCCCCGGCGCTACCTCAATAAGTCTTGCGTAGAAGTCCACTCCCACTGTGGGATCGGACACCTCCACGAACTTCCCATCACAGAAACGGCGGAGCAGTGAACTCTTTCCCACCGTCGAATCTCCGACTAAAATCAACCGAAATTGATATTCCCAAATGACTTCTGGGGGTAGTCCTGCTAATTCTTCTGCCGGGGCTGTCATAGCTGCATTGCTGTTACAATTTGTATGTGAAAACAGCATATGTTGAAAAACTAAGAATTATCGGTTCTATCTCAACCGGCTTTATAAAATGTCGTTCTACTGTAACCAAAAGCTCGCTTGTGTTGTGTACCCTTTAAAAATGACGACAATGTACTTCCGGGTCGCGTTTTTTTTAGCATGAAGACCCAGGGATTTCTGGATGAATTTCAACGAACACGTTCGTTATGAGTCTAGCTCTGTAGTAATTATTGTCAATTCCGCAAACTTCCTACATTTAATGTGACTGCAAAGTTTCTCTTGAGTTTGGCAGAGGCTGGCCCGACATATCAACACATTATGGGCGCAAAGTGAATTAAGTCCATGGAGAAGTCATTGTGAGTCGCGGGTGATTCAAATAGGCTTAGTTGGTAACTGGGGGTTCGGTATAACATGCAAACAATTTGTATAACGTACACTTCAATTCCTAATTTTGGATAGTATAGGCCTATTTCCATATACATTTTATATTAATTTAACATAAATGAGTATATAAAGTATATAAATAATCATCTACTTTAAACAAAAAATAATATTAATATATGTGCCATAAGACACCCTTGCAGAGGCAACGACCTTCAGTGACTTTGGCACTACGGCCCCAGCAGGTGTTAGGGGCCGAGCTAGCCCCTGTGTTTTTAGGCATTAAATAACGGTCAGACACTGGCAGGTCACTAATTAGCGGGGAGTCCAGGGGGCAGCGCCCCCGGAAGCTCAGGGGTTTTAGGTATTTAATTACGGTTCATCCAGGGGCACTCTTTAAGGTCATTGATGTGGTCCATGCAGGGGGCAGAGCTACCAGAAGCTCAGAGGTTTTAGATATTTAATTACGGTCAGATGAGCATCCAGGGGCCCGCCTTAAGGACCTTGGTGGGGTCCAGGAGGCGGGCCCCATAAGCTCTGGAGTTTTAGGCGTTTAATTACGGTCAGATGAGCATATTTCGATACCTCATTGAATTTGTGACATTTTCTCTGTAACATACTTTTTCAAAAAGTAAGGGGGGCTCGAGCCCCCGAGCCCAGCCATTCTGCAGGCCCTGACATGAAGGCTTCTAAATAAGCATTTTTTTCTCGCCCGACTGTACATTTGGGAGTTTCTAATTTTCAAACAAACGCATAAACAGGTATGACTTATAAAAAAAAAATTGAGAAATTATAGGGAAAATCATGTCATTTCAGCAACATTTGTAAATCACTGGTATCGAATAAGAAATAGCCCCCCCCCCTCATCATCGATAATAAAGGCGGCATGCGGAATGTTTAGGAAATTTAATTCCTGGTTCCTTTCCTTTTCTCTGAGCTGAATTTGTTATGTGATTTAATTCAGGTTTTTATTATTGTTATGTTCTTTTGGGTTAAAAATACAAACCATCTTTACTCCTTTACTGCTTGCTTTTTTTTTTTTTTTTTTTTGGGGGGGGGGGGGGGGAATGCGTCTCCCTCACTTTTGGGGTTGGGGGGGGGGGAGTGCCCCCTGCCCTCCCCCCCCCCAGTTCCGGCGCCTTACATTTAATTAAAAGAATGAAACTATCAAAATTACTCTCATGTTCCGGGGTAAAATATTATATATAGGCCTACTCTTGCGCTAGTGTCCTTTAATTGGTATATAAAGTACATGTATACCAAATCCTTCGGGGAGGCTTCGGTCCCATATTGCTTACTCTAAGCATATGCTTAACAAAACAACAACAACAATGTTTTTTAACATGACCCGTCGAAAAGGAGAGGCAAACACAGATGAATTATTGAAATAAAAATTAATGATAGTAAACAAATGGGCTACATAATATGCAATTAACAGAATAATACGTCAAGCTACTTTGCTTATTTCTGTAGCCCTCCTGCATCTAATGTATGTTAATTATGCATTCAATATATTTGTTTAAATTCGTTCATTATCTGTATAAAATTATATACACTTAAAATATTGTATCAAACCATATTATGTTCATGAAAATGTATGATGAAAAAAGAAAAAAAAAGATGCCGAAACCAAAAAATCCGATCAAATCAAATCAAATCAAATAAACCAAACAGGTTAAATATATGAATATAATAGTCAGATTCCAGATACAAATGAACCAACAAATAAAGAAAAATAACAGAAAGGTACACCATTTATTTTAGTTAGAAAAAAACAACACTAAATGTTAACATTATTCTCGCCAAACTTTTTTTAATTTGCCAAGATATCGGACTCAAAGAGAGAAAACACAAAACTTTGGGTAAGTAAAGAGATCACCAATCATGTGGGGGGGGGGGGGGGCGGGGGGAGCGGGGGCAGTTGAATGAAATTCAAGCGTGGCTTGATACCAGTGATTTACGAAATATGTTGTTGAAATGACATGATTTTCCTGGTCTGTTATTTTCTTTCTGCCCCTCCCCATAAAAAAGAGCTTTATCTCTAGCTCAGGTTCTAGCTCAGTCAGAGAAGAGAAGTGAATGACATGTTATATGATTGGAATTATAGTGATAGTAGAAATGCTACAATCATTATTTTCCTCTTCTTTCTCCTCCTCTTTTTCTTCTTCTCCTTCTTCCTCTCCTTCTTCCATTTCTTCTTGTACTGATTATCATTTCTATCATCAGTTTATAATGTTGCTATTATTATTTTTCTTTTTCTTATCTGTCTGTAACTATTACTATTACTATTTTAAGTTATTAATTTTGTACGTGTTTGTAGGGCACCCCACTGGAAATAAGCCATTTTGTGCCCCCCTCCCGGTAAGAAATTCCTGGATCCGCCCCTGATGAGTATTATAATAATCTAAGGAAAAAGCATTGTGAGTCGAAATCATTTCTAAAAATGACAGTGGCTCAGAAGTGTAACCACATTTAGACTCATCCCCAGCACACCCTTTGGGATTAATGAACAATTCCCTGGGCTTGCATAGATAAAAAAAAAAAACGCGGCTCACAGAACGTACAGTACATACAACAAACATACAAAAACGCCGCTGCGCCGCCGCTGATCAGATCAGACCAGACTCGACTGCGACATACATCATGGCTTTCGGCAACGATGTCCCGTACGTCAGTACTACGGAAGAAATTCCTTCCAGTTGTTGGACTAAAACAAAGAAAATATTTGCACCTCTGTATACACTGTAAGTAGATCTACGGAAATTAAGTTAAACATTGTTGGATAATGATCAGAAGTCTTGTTATGGGTTCTAATTTTACAAGTCAGCGTGGGAACTGCTCGGTTAGCCCTTCGCACGTTTTTGAGGATTTGCATTTGTGTATTAAATGAATGGCCAGCGTGTGTACTTGTGTGGCTAAGCTTTGTCGGCTGCTTGTGTAGAAACCAGACATTAACACATGTCCATGGTGTAGATTGTAGGTCTAGTTGCACGTGGTTGATGTGTGTAGAACACCTCCTTAGGGAACTCTAGGTGTGTGTTAATAATAAATTGCTGGCCATCTTGTCATATATTCATAAGCCATAACTAGTATCAGTAGAGGCGCTGGTCCGAGAATGAGGATCGTCCGTTATCATAAAAATTATCCCCGGCAAAATTTGGCCTAGGGGGTCTATCCCTATGACACAAACTAGATCTACACCAAAGTTCTGCAAGAATCTTCAAGATTAAAGAAAGCAGACTGCACCGAAGAAGAAAGAAGAAGAGATCAAATGAATAAACAATCATACAAAAAACAACAATTATCAATCAGCAAAAACAAGCACAAAAAGGATCATCAAATATTTCAGCAAAGCGTTCAAAATAAAAATAGAGTCTATCAAACAAAGTTAGCATCCAGGGCTAGGTCAGGAATGACCATGTTGATGATGAAGACAATGTTGAAGTCGATGATGTCGGCAATGATGATGACGGTGAAAATGCCGATAAAAGTGATGACAAAGATGAAGTCGGTGATAATATTTGATTAAGGCACTGTTTTTGTTGATGATGTTGTCGGTGACGATAGTGATGAAGTATTTGTTGGATGATTTCAGTTATGATGTCGATGATCAGGCGGTCAATGGACGATATCCTTGATGACAAAACGATCAGTTAGAAGATGATGTGTGAAGAAATCAAATCGCTCGCGATGAATGCGCTATTTTTTTTTGTTGCTTCGCGATGACTCAAACAAACTGCACGATGACGATAATAAAAAAAAGTTGGCACAACGTATGATGCGAAGATGTTAATGTTTGGTTATTGAAGAGACAGACGCATGTGATAATACTGCAAGATGATGAAAAATAAACGTGTCGATAGATGCGGGTTAAAATTTCCATTGAAGTTATCAAAACTATGATGCAGAATGAGAAAACCAATAGATTTCTCTATTCTCAATGCATGGAGTAAAAAAATGATTATATCACATATCTATGAAAAAAAGTAGAAAGACGATGAAAAAGTCTCTCCACATAATGATGTTAAAGCCAAAGGAGTACAAAAATCAAGCAGCAAGCAATCGAGTCATCCGCCAGAGGTGCGGTGCCAAAGTCGGTCATTATTTTTATTATATCGTCATCAACATTATCATTATAATTATAACACTTACAAACTACAACACATTTGAAAACAAGAAATAAATAATAATTAATGAACTGACAAACTGCAACGTCTATATAAATGCGTCAAATCTCCTTTATCAAGTTACAATTCCTCAAATTGATATACAATGTAGGCCTAAAGAAATTGTGTCTTTATATCAGTAAGCCTATTTATATTTAATAAATAAGTAAGAGTATTTAAGTTCAATGGAATTTTTATTTTTTTATTTTATAGTACAGCATTATGGCATGATATTTGTTTAGAAAAACAACTGGAAATTAGTTGGAAGGTATGTAGTGAGGTAATATGGATATAACTGGAAGAGATAACACCACAACTACCGGTAGGCACTTTTTAAGATTGCTGCTTTTGAGATCCAAACGAAAGAAGACAGAAGATACCACTGCCTCATCTTTGACACTGATGGGAAGGAAGAGTGTCCCAAAGTCTGGGAATTCGCCTTGAAGGAGAGAAGGACAGAGAATAGAAGAGGAGGAAGATGGCTAAAGGACCGAGTGTGGGGACGGTAAGGGTTGATTAGCATATTTTCTAGCAGAGCTGAACAATCAAATTGACCGTATAGACACCTCATGGCAA